TGGTAGAGCCCCTCCACCTGGGGGTGCCTCCTTGGGGCCCACCACTGGAGAGGTTAATTAAGCCAACCTCTTGCATAGATTTAACATTGTTCCACACAAAATATTGAAGGACCCAGATTTGTAGCAAATTCCATGGCGGTTTTAAAAGTTGAGCCTCTGTGTAATAAAATTGAGCATTCCTGATATTTGAATATAGATTATGTGCAGAGGGAAAGGAAATAATGCAATTTTTAAACACTGTATTGTAAAGTAGAAAATGTGATGTCTTAAATAAAACTATTTAAAATTGGCACCAAAAATAAATAAATGTAAGAGCAATCATGTGTTCATCAGGGACTGACATAAATTTAAAAAAAAAAAAGGAAAAACAAGGTGTGTTGTAGATTTGGGTGGAGGGGAGATATTATGTCTTTAAGAGAATATTGTTTCAACATATAATATTTTTATCATTACTAAACATTTTTGTGGTGCAAATATTATAAACTATAATATCTATACATTCACATATCTATTTTTCCTAATGCCGCACCTTTGAACAAAACTTTATCATTAATGAACACATTGTTGCTACCTTGTATTTTATTTATACTGGTTTGCTCATCATGTCTCTTAATGTTGAATTCTTTACAACAAGATTTTTCCATTGCAAATAGCATTTAACACAAAGAAGTTCTCATTCCAGTGATTTACAGACATATGATTTCCATCAGCCACTATTCTGTAGTTGGCAGCAGTCACGAGGCTTGAAAGTGCATTTAGGAAACAGTCCTCCTCAGCCCGCCCATCCAGGCCAGGCTGACTGTCACTCATCCTTCAGGTTCCATGCTCAGCTCTCCCTCTAGGAAACAGGAAGTGTGTCCTCAGCACTTGTGGGTCTGAGATGTTTTCCTTTTCTCCCTCATGTTTAAATTTAGATGTCACTGTTGACTGCCTTTCCTTGTGGCCCAGTTAAATTACGTCTCTGCAGGGAAAGAGTGCCCATGGTAGATGGGGACATGGCCCCATGGAAGCTGAGTTGGCTCAGTGTTCATTTCCTTTAGGGAAACGGCCAACATTTCCTTAAAGGAAGGCTCACAGAAGACTGAGGTAAGTATCTGTGAAATAGTGACTGTAGCTCCAAGTATAAAAGGATAGTTAATGTGGCAAATTTTCTCCCTTTGTCTCAATTTTGGAAGGACCCTACTTGCAGAGTGGCTCACCAGTTGCTGCAAGCTGCTCATGGGAGCCTGAGGACCAGAAAGAGCCAAGCAAGGGTGCACATCGGCTGTTTCAGCTCAGGGGAGCTCCCAGCTGCTGTTATGTTCTGTCTTCTTAGTTAGAAATAAATGAGAGCACCTTTTTAGTGGTGGCAACCATCCCACAGCAACATGCCTCTCGCTAAGGACCTCCTTCATCCCTCACCAGAAGAAAAGAAGGAACACCAGAAAAAGTATCCGGTGTAGAGCCCCAGTTCCTACTTCCTGGGGGTGAAATGCCCAGGATGCTATAAAACCACCACGCCTCTAGCCAGGCACAGACAGTAGTTCCATGTGTGGTGGCTCCACTGTCCTGTGTCAGCCGACAGGAGGAGCAGCGAGGCTTCCAGAGGATGCTCCTTCCCGAGGAAGCAGCACTCAAAGCACCTGAACCAAAGTGAGTGGGAACCATCCAATAAGCACATGTTGGATACATGCTGTTCATTGTCTTGCCTTACTGCCAGGAAGTCCCTACTGCAAGTTCTCAGGGGCAACCAGAAGCGTGGACTGCTAGAGTCATTGCAGGCAATCTGTGAAATAAAATGAGGGCATTTTCCAAGTCAGAATTCCATGGTCGTAAACATAAGGACTCCTGACCTTTTAAAGATGACAGTTATTGAGGTCAACACTGCAAAGAGGTTAAAGACAAGGATCTGGTAGGCATCCATGAACCTCTGGAGGACACCTTCACATCGATCTATGCATTGGCTAGAACAAAGGAAGATAACCATTATTTAATAACATTCAGAGTACATGCTGTGTTTTAAACTTTGTGTGGTCATAAGAGTATGTAGCAGAAGCACTCAAAACCCAGCCCTCTAGGAAACTGTTTTGCTTCTTACCAGCCTAAAGAGGCGAGCTATACTGGACTCCATCTTTTTTGGCTTTTTCCTATCTCCAAAGTAATAAGCTCCTCCAATTCTTGGAGCTCTTATTTCTTCCTTGCTGCTTACTATCTGCCACTTAGAAGTGCCTGTTACCTCACCTGTGTATTTTAACTCCAGGTGGCATGCCTCTCTTCACCAAATTTGTGGCAATCCATGGTGACTGGATTTCTTATTCTAATCCCTCTAACATAAAACATTTCTTTGGGTTTCCAATGACATCTTAAAACCAGGGGTCTTTTACCTTTTTTTACGCGTCATCGTTTCTAGGGAATATTCAGATTTGTATATAACCATGTCCTTAATAAACCTTTATACTCCTGCCATTGAAGCATAAAATAAAGAGATAGATAATGATGATGATGATGATGATGATGATGAAGATAGATGATAGACAGATAGAAGCCACTATCGTGAGGCTTCTGCCTGCTAATCTGTGACTCACCCAAAATGCTGCAGTCTCCCCCATTTTCACTCACAGCATCCAGTATTTTCCTTCACAGCACTTAACCCACACTCTGCACCTTATTCTATGTATCTCACATATGTGCCATGTTATGCACTTATAAATTGAGATTATATAAAATTATATCCCTGAATAATGGTTTATTTTCTGTGTCTTTTGTTCATAGGCACATTCCATGAAGTCAGGGACTGGGACAATTTTTTTCCATCAAATTCCACCAGTGCCCCAGAGTGCCTGACACACAGGGGGTGCAATGTAAGCAATTTTTTGATAAACCAATATCGACACAGGTGCAAAAGACTGTTCTCTCATTCTGCAATGGCACCAAGTCCCTTGATGTCATTTTCTCCACATACATGGAAATTAGCAACTCTCTCCATCACCTGGCAGATTTAGTCAATGGGTCCTCCCTTGCCCCTGATTCACTAGAGTGCAGAACACCTTTAAGTGGCGGAAGGGGGTGGAGGTGGAGGTGAAGCAGAAATGGGCCTCATTGGCTTTTCACTGCTTCAGAGATATTCCTTGCTGAACAGTTCCAAAAATTTCTAGTTATTTTCATGGTGTCCTTTTCCACTTTGGGTCTCCAAAATTTACACACACACCCTAACAGGAGTATATCACAATATTATATGAATTATGCATTTTCAAGTTATTTGACATAAAATCAAGTTTGAAAGCTTAATTCTGGATACTCAGTGGCACTTAACCTCCTTTCTAATAATTACCACTCTCAGTTCAGACTTTCATTAACAACTTTTTATTAATTCTCATTACTTTCACATTTTTATTATATGTTCCTCAAAATAAAATGATAGTTTTACCACAATCCACACAAATCAACTGATACATTAACTCAAGCCAAAAGAAATCACTCAAATGAAAACAGCATCATCCAAGATGGGTAGGAGTCACATGAACCACTCAGGTCTAACCCATCACAATTAGCCTAAGCTGATACTAGCCTGCCACAGAGCAAAGCCTAGTGAGAGGGACTCGCGCTTGTCTCCCCTGTTACCCTCTGTCCCTGTGAAAGTTTTTGTCACCCGAAACAAGATATGCAGATCTAAAGTTAATCAAACATTTATAAACCACAATTCTAATTTAATACTGACAAAGTTTTCTAGCCAATAGGTTATAGATGAAGAAATTTATAATTTCCGACTAGAATTTAAAATAAAAATCTATGAAAAGTTCCTTAGACAGCATTTTGTTTCATAATGAAGGCTCACTTGAAGTCCCCATACACCATCTAAGACCTTTATCCTTTCTTCATTTTTTCTTCCAATCATTACTTTTTTCCAAGTCAGCTGAAACCTTTACCATGCCATCATGCCTGTTTTTATTTTTCTACATTACTGTCTAATCTTTGTGCACATGTAAACATATTTTACAGTTATGATCACAGTGCTCGATATTTATTAACTACATCTTTCAATTAACATGTGCTTATCATTCCCATCTTATGAAATCCTTAACCTTATTCATGGCTGCCTACTCTCTTCTAAGTTCCTTAAGCATAGCCTTATCATTGACTATTTAGGGCATTTTTAATTTATTTCTGTTCTTAAATACATTTTCATATGTAACATTTTTGAGTATTTTAAATGATTTCCTTGGTATAGATTTTCAGGAGACAAAATAAAGATCAATGCCTCTGAAACTTTTTATGGCTCTTTCTGTGCTTAGCTATTTAATTATTTTACAAAAAGGAAGGGTCAATTTACATTGCTTTAGGGGCTTGTGAGTGAATCCCTTTCACAAAGATCCCACCACAATCTATTTTTAGCTTTAATTTTTTTCTCCTAACAAATATTAATTAGTATCTCATTATTATCAGTGGGATTGAACATTATATGTCTATTCTATAGGATAACATGAATTGTTTATTCATCCGTTCACATTCTTATCCCATTGTTTCTATTTCCTTCTATTTTTAAAAGGTATTTTTAATTGGCTGCTTGAACCATTAAAATAAATCTCTTAACCTAACCTAAATGCAAAAAGGCAATAAAAGCAAAATCAGCACAAACTTGCCATGTTACCTTAAAGAACTTGGGTGTCACAAGAAGTACATTAACAGACTAATAATCCTTTTAAGGGAAGTACCATCCACTCAACCTAGTCCGTTCCTTAGACTTGAAAGGAGAAAATGTTTATTGTAGATTTGAGGGCCATACTTCATTAGAAGGCTGTAATTTTTCCTTTTAAATCACCAAGTAATTTTTCTACACACACAGTGATTGGTCATAATGATGAAACAGGTTAAATGTAATTAAGCATCCAACTAAGGGAAAACCTATGCAGCTCATTATGATCATCCTGATTTAAATGATGTTCACTGCTCATACAAGATAACAGTTATGATCATTTGTATGTCGTATTTTCCAAAGTGCTGGGTGGGGGACATGCCCCCCATTACTTGACATCACAGAGAAGGGCGACCCCACGGAGCACCCAGTGTTCCGGCGCCTGGGCTGTCCTCAGGTCCACAGCAGCAATGTAGTTCAAGTCCGTTCGGACCGGCTTCTTGTAGATGGGGCAGGAGTAAAACCGAGGATCTCTTAGAGCTATAAAAAATTCATAAAATAAAAAAATTGGGTGAATTTCTAATTAAGTAACCCAAACAATGTAGAGCCAAATGTGTTCATTTTGAAGGTCATTCCAAAGGGAGATGAGTTTGGTAAAATGGGAGAAATTCTTCCTGAGGTCAGTCAATCCCTAGATGTGAAGCAAATGCTACCGCAAGTTTCCAGTGGATATGACAAGATACCCAGGCATGCTCAGATTTCTCCCACTGGCCTCTTATCCCATGTCAGTAACCACTGCCCAGAGAAGATGACCATGAGCCTCCCACTGCTTCTTCCCTCCCTCTTCTTTCTTTCAACATTCCCCCTCCACCCTTTCTCCTTTACCTCCTTACCAAATCTTGTGCTCTCGCACCCTGTTTTTCCATTACAGCTTGCCTTTAGCACAAGGCACCTGTCCCTTTTAATCAGACATCCAGAACCAGTGCTCACTATCATTTCATGATTATCATTTTTTCAAAGTCCTGTCTTCAACTCTCTGTGCCATTTGAAATCACAGGACAGAGAATGGTCCCCATTCCTGCGAGGTGGTGGGAGTTCTCCATATGTGTAGAGAAATCTAAGTGGCTGGGAAGCAGAAAGTCATGGCAGAGTTCAGCTTCCTGAGATTCAGTCTATCTTTTTGAAGTAGAGGAATACGTGAAGTATCCAAAGCCACATAGGCCATGAAAGACAACCTGTGGATCGCCACCCCTCAAAAAGCCTACCTAATGTATTCACCCCTAATCAAAGGCTCACTTTCTCTCCACCCTTGAAAGCCCCATGATCAGGGGCAAATCCAGTTCTCATGGGGCCATAAACATATAATTTTGGAAAAAGGTATCTTTAAGAACAAGAGTACATGTTTACAAATACGTAAATAGGCTTAGGAAGGAGACTCTGCACTGAGTAGCCTTGGAGTTTAAGATTCATTAGCCTCTTGCTAAACCAGCTCTGTCCAGAGTAGTTTATCTGCATATCTTGTAACATCCATCTCAGGAGGCAGTATATTATTTCCCCTTCTCTTCTAGACTATAAATTTCTTCAGGACAAAAGTTGTGTCTGTACCCATCCTTGTACTCCTCTGGAAGGCCAATATTATAAATGACCCTCATATAACTATTGAGATGAAAGCACATTTAACCAAGAGGATAACTTTGTTTTGCTGAATTAGTGTTGCAAACATGGGAACTGATACATAAAAACAGTAACTTTCTAAATGCAATGTTAATATATCAAAGTGACTGAATTTATTTCTCTAAACTAACCTGCTCAGTAATTTAACTTCTCCTAACACATTACAAAAGCAAGACAGTATCAGAAGCTAAGTCTCATTTGTTGGCCCAATAAAACCTTCAGCCTGCTGTGCCAAGTGTCTTTATACCTTCACTGTATTTAATTTTATTGGAAGAAGTTAAACATTTGAATATGGTAATATTATAGATACATTTCAATGTAAAGTATTAAATATTCTAAATAGTGATTCTTAACCAGGGGCAATTTTACCAGTATCTGGACACATTTGTGGTTATCAAAACTGGGGAGGTGCTATCAGCATCTACTGAGTAAAGGCCAGGGATTCTGTTAACGTACTATAATACTCAAGGCAGTCCCTCACAACAAAGAGTTATCTGGACCAAAAATGTCAGTAATACTACAGACGTGATACCTGGTTCTAAAATATTTTATAGTACTTTTAAACTAGGTGTTTGCTTAATCACATGAAATTAATCAGTAGAAACAACCTAAATGATGTAACACCTCATTTTTACATCTAGGCATTATTTTTTAAATGATCATAGAAGTACTATTAGTAACAATAATTAAGCAAATATGTGTATATATGTGAATAACAGTAAATACATGAAGTGCAGTCAATACTCTTCTTAACTGATACATTCAAATCCTTTAATCCTAGGATCTGTAAACAGAACAAATATATAACTGCTTGTTCTTCTGGATGAAAATTTGACCAACAATCATGTTGTAAATCTTGCAGTAAGCCATTGGAGTCTTACATTTGAACCAAATGATAATTATAATAATTACACCTTGGCAAGTATCTGACTACTTAGATTTTAATCCCCGAAAAACATAATTGAGAAAAAAATAGTATCCTTTTCAATAAGCAGGTAAAAAAAATCCTCTGAAACATTGATCCAATTCTATTTCTTTGTGATTGCTTCAGAGCTCAAGGTGGCCGTGCCAAGTCACAGCATGCAGCAGGCTTCTGCGGCATGACTAGGAGTCCCTGAAAATTTACTTTCATAGTGAAAGTGCTGACAGATGCTAAACCACCACATAAACAGATGATTCCAAACCATTATGCCTGGTTAGACAAATAACTTTGAAGGAAAAAATAAACATGCTATGTAGGTAGAACAAATCAGCTAAATATGTTCAAAGCCTTGGGCTCCAGAAGGAGGAGCAGAGAAGCGGCTGTTGAAACTGGTGAGCTATAGGCCTTAGGAGCCTACAGGCTTTAGTAAAACACCTTGAGGGGAATTCATTTTCTAACTAGGTAATTTCCCTCTCTAGCCTACATTTTTCATCCAAATGTTATTATGTCACTTATTCCTTCCCATACCCAAAATAACCAAACTCTGTAGAGATCCTCTATGTAACCTTTAAATCAGGGGTGTCCAACCCATGTCCCACAGGCTTCATGTGGCCCAGGAAGGATATGAATATAGGCCAACATAAAATGAGAAATTTAGGTAAAACATTATGAGAATTTCTATGATTACATGTCACAATGTATTTAATGTGTGGCCCAAGACAACTCTTCTTCCAATGTGGCCCAGAGACACCAAAAAGGTTGGATGATTTAGTAAATCATCTCTTATCTAACCCCTCTTCTGCTAATAACATTTTACAGGAGTGTCCAACGTTTTGGCATCCTTGGGCCACACATTAAATACACAAACATGAAAACTAATGATCAAAAAAAAGGTTTAAGTAAATTTACAATTTTGTGTTGGGCCACATTCATAGCCACCCTGGGCTGCATGTAGCCCATGGGTTGCAGGTTGGACACCCCTTTTTAAGATATTAAATAGAGCTCTCTTACATGTGATATTTATTTTATTCTTTCAATAAGCATGTGGGATGTCAATAATAACAATAATAATAAAATGATTCACTGTACGCTATGCGCTGGACACTGTCAGTGTAATTCTCTCCACAACCTGTGAGATGGGTACCACTACTGAAGCCATTTTGCAGATGAGAAACTGGGCCAGAAGCAGGTGAGTCACTTGTCCAAGGTTACAAAGCTGTACGTGACAGAGTAAGAATCAAGCCTCACCAGAATGGATCTAGAGCCTATGCTCCTCATCTCAGCAGTAGCTGGGATATACTATGTCTCTGTATGTGCCTCTGTGTCTTTGCAGAAAGATGTAAAATTGAACCGGAGATAACTAGATACCTGACTTCCATTCCTGGCACATTCGAGTCCCCTCCAAAGCCACATAACTGATTACTAGGGTGGTAAAGCCAAGGGAGCAACCTAAATACCCAGGTTCCTGGCTCACTATCTTCTACTAAGAACGTGTGGCCCCACCAGTAAGGAGGCAGGACAGGCAACACCCTTTATCCAGATGTATGAGGGGAGGAAAGCCATTGGGTGCGAGTTCCCTTCAGCAGAGGATCTTACTGTGTCTACTTCACCAGCTTCCCCAGAAAAATAAACTCATGACTTCAAAATGCAAGGAGCTGCCCTCATTTTCAATTCAGCCTTGATTTTCAAGCTCTAGCCTAGACACCGCAGACACTGCCTAATGCATAGTCTTAAGTAGAAAACCAACCACAGGAATTCCCAGAGGTCTGCATTTATCCCACAACAGACAAATGGGATTATGATACAGCTTTGGTGGGCAGGAATCACAGGCAAATTGCACAATGTCTCTAAACCTTAATTTCTTCATCTGCAAAATCAGCATCGTATATCTTACAGACTCATTGTAAAGGTTAAATAAGTTAATATATCTATGAATACCTGTCATTATATAATGTCTGGAATGCAGTAGATGCCCCAGGTGTGTTATATCTGTCCCCCACTCCCCTCTTCTCTAACCATCCCTCACCACACACTTACCTTTTCACTAAAATTCCCCAGACTCACATTCCTCCTGCTTTTGACAGAGTTCCAGATTGACAAACTCAAAGTGGATTAAATGCTGTGGCAGTCAGGAGTCAGGAGCTCCCCACCTCCAGGGTACCCACGGGCTATTCCCATACCCAGCCCCAATATGCAGTGTTCAGTAGGGAAGGAGTTATAGGGCAGTCTTAGAAAAATGTGCCCCCAAGCAGGACATATCCTCATTAGCTGCAGGCACCCTGAGACCCTTCTCGGCCTGCCTCATGTGCCTTTCAGCCTTGCTTTGTCCCCCCAGGAAGCTGTAATCATGGTTTCCCATCACACAGCCTACAGTGCTACAGTTCATTTAGAAGCCTCACTATCTACGTAGGAAATATGCAAGGAGACAAATCCTTCCTATATCTGCCCTTCTTTTTTTTTTTTTTTTTTTTTTTTTTTGGTCTTCCTTTGAAAACAGAGAACCTGAGGTGTGTGGGTATTTTTCCCTGCTGATGAACTTAGCACTATTTGGGCAACTTTCCCATGATGTCCGAACAAGAAACATAAATAAAATAACGTTTTGGGATCTATCACTCAATTTTTAGAGCACAAATAAATCCCAAGACATCTTTCGGACAACAAATAAGCCAGCCCAGTATGTGAAATTCAGTGATAAATTATTTAAACTGAAAATTGCCCTTCATGTTAACATAAAAACAATTTATTATAAGAATTTTAATTTTAAAACACTGAGCTTTCGTCAGTGTCCTTTGACCATTAATAATGCTACACCTCTACACCTCTTTATCTCAATTAGAATCCTATTCAGCTATCAAAAAAGAATGAAAATTAGATATGATGTATAAAAAGTGCAACAGAATGTTTTTTTAATGATTAAACAAACACCTCTCCAACAACAAAGTTAATTAGCAAAACAAGTTTCCACAAATTTCTATTGAAACAAAAAGAATAGAGAACTGATGTTTTTCTCTTTTTTTAGTACTTTGAAATTAGTCACTTTTCCTTTGTTTATTTTACTTCCTCCCTTACCTGCTGCTAACGAGCCTCACTGTTGACTAATGCCCAGCAGGGTGAATGCAGTTCTTGTAGAAAAATCTGTTCTTAAATAAAGAATTGCCTGAATTATAAAATTATTACTTTAATGTTACCATGCTGAGATGTTCAATGTCATATTGCAATGGATTTTTACAGTTTAGTCACAAGAAATGAGAAAGTAACTCCTAACTCCACATGAGAAAGGCCTTTCTTTCCTTTTTTTAAGGAAAACACTTTTTACAACATGTTCACTAGCTGCAATGATAGAATAAAGCAAAATTTCTAAAATATGATTTTTAGCCAAAAGAACATTTGGTTTTCATTTCTATAAAAGAGTCACTTCCCCCAGGACTTCACACATCCCAAAAACCAGTAAACGCGAGGTCACAGGCAGAATGCTTGCCCAGCCCCAGGCAGACACAGTCTCAGATAAGGGCCAGAGTATCCTGAGCAACACATGGGCCAGGGCCTGTGCTGAGCCCTTAGCTTTCCTTTCCTTCTCACGGGGTCCTCTTCCTTATTATACCTTCTTTCTCTTCCTCCAACACAGCATGCACACCCTTTGCTACCTCACGTCTTTGCACTCTTGCCTCTGCTCCTGGATGTCAGCCTCTTCCTGTCACTTGGATCCCAGTTCAATGTTCTTCCTCAACAAGACCTTCCCCTAACCCCTAAATTACTTTACTCCCTAGCATACCATGTGTGTTTTTCTTTATAAGAACAAGAACTATGTGGCATAATTATGTTCACATACAGTCGATTGTCATCATTCATGGAACCTGTGTACTTAAAGCCTCCATGAACACTGAATCAGGGACCATGAAACCTGTGCTCCTAGCAGAAATACAGGCTGAGGTTCCTAAGAGGCTCTGGTCACATTTTTATCAACCCACCAATATATAACCTTGTTTTATGTGTGTTTGAACTTAAAAACATCTTTTTAGTATACATTGTTGACTCACTGACATTGAGCACAAGGCCAACAGCACTGCATCACATGCCTACATGAAGCAAATCTAACACATGTTTTCTCCGTAAGGCACATGGCAGCCTTCTCATATTCAGGACACCAGACAGTACTTCAGCCTTATGCTTGGGGATTCCATTAAAAATAGCAAAAAGTACACAAATGTGAAAATGTAGCACTAAACATACTACAAAAAGGACACTTGTTTAGAGCTGAGACAGTGTCACCTTTGTCAACCTCAACTGGGAACATGCATGTCGGGAGCCTCACATTTTTCATTGCTTTGTGTGTGTCTATCAATGATCATGAAAGTGCCAGAAACACTGATTTGGAGGTTACAAATAGACTTAGCCAGTAGGTGAATTCCTAAAAACAGAATCCATGAGCAACAAGGATTGTCTATATTTGTTTTGTTTTAGGCTCCCCTCCCCTCCCCTTTTTTTTAAATCCTTACAAGAGGATATGTTTTATTGATTTTAGAGAGGGGGGAGATAGATACATCAATGTGAGAGAGAAACTTCGATTGGATGTCTTCCGTACACACCCCAACTAGGGATCGAACCTACAGCCTAGGTATGTCCCCTGACTGGGGATCACATCTACAATCTTTTGGTGTACAGGATGATGCCCTAACCAACTGAGCCCCCCAGCCAGGGCTACCCTACCCTTTTGAGTTCTGTGAGAATGGGGATTCTCCCTGGTCTTTTTTCACTGTTGCATCCCCAGCATCAAAACAATGCAAGGCAGATGGTCAATACCACATAATTATTCATAGAATGACCAAGTGAGCTAATGCTATTTCTCTCTGCAAAAAAAAAAAAAAAAAAATCAATCTTTAACTTCCTAGCACACTGATTCTTGTCCTCCAGAGCCCATCTCAGAAGCAGTCTGTACCAACTTCCCAGGCATAGTTTTGATCTCCTTCTAAAGCTTCCTGGCCATCCTGGGTGAATCTCTATCATAACATGTATTAAATTCTATTTTATCTACTCACCAGTTTCCCTCATGAGACTGAGTCCTTTGTGGGCTGAATCTGGTGCATAGTTACCCTGTGTCTCTTGTACCTAAGGCTGTGGCTGGTGTATATACATAAGGCATTCAGCCAATGTTTGCTTAAAAAATAAATGCTCAAAGCCTGTAAACTCTCTCTCCATGACCTGTTCCAAACGGGACATTCATCTAAGGAGATACTAAAAGTTGTCTTTTAAAAAGACATTATGTTTTATCCCTTGTTTAAAGAAAAATATTTTGTGCTTCTGTCACAAAATCAGTATCTCCTTAGGATCCACTACCATGGTTACCTCTAGAGTTTGTGGCTAAGGGTAATCATTTCACTGTGTGTGTGTTCCATGTTGTATACCTTAAGTACAATTTTCATTTGAAAGAAAAGAAATTTTAATTTAAAAAAATGAACAGGAAAGCCCCACATGTGCTGAAAGGTGTTTATTGTTGAGAAGATGTTAGCTGAGTAAAACGTAACAACAAAAGCCTCCAGAAAACATCAGGCCAACAATGGATAGCAATTTAGGTCATTTTAGCCATACCAAATAGAGCTTTGATGACTTTGTCAAGGTAGGATAATGTATGTGTTTCAAAGACATGTTATTAAATTCATAGGCTAAAATGTGAATTCAACAATTTACCTTTAGGTACTGGATTAAGCTAAACGTCTCTGAATTCAATCTGGATTTCGCGACCTGGCTTCAATCTCCAAGCTGGTAGAACCACCACCTCCACTGAGCCCTGGCAGCCCTGGCAGCCCTGCCTGGAAAGTACCCCTTGCTCCACCTCATCATCTTCATCCTTCCAAGCCCAGGCCAGGCCCAGCTGCCCCAACCACTTCACCCTACCATGATCTCAACTTCCTTTCCCACCACTTATTAATTATTCCAGACACCTGTTTTTTATGTTACCAGCTAACACTTTGGGATCCAGATATATTTTATCTGCTGTATTAGATAGGCAAGAGTTATCTAGATTAACCATTGCCTCCCCAGCAGCACTCAAGAAAGTGCCTAGCGGTCAATAAATACTCATTAAACATGGGTGTGAATGTGCAGCTCATTGATAAAAGAGTCAAATCCTTATTACATGATAACAAAAATAAAAAGAGCCTGTGTTTATAATGCCATTGAATCTAATAATACCAACCAGCCCTAATACACAAGAAAACTTACTGTTGTGTTCTGCATAAATCCTTATGACAGGCATCAACTCAAAGAGCACTTTCGGTTTGGACTCAATGAGTTTCATGCTCCTCTTGTCCCAGCCAGCACCTTCAAGATATAAACCATAGACGTAGACACCCTCTGTGGGAGGGGCAGAAACGTCATCTTTCATCCACTTAGTGACTTCGTTGCAAAGCACCATATTGTCCAGGGCCCAGCCTTTGTTGGCCCGAGTTATCTCCTACTCCGGGCAAGAACAAAGGCAAATGATGGAATTAACAATTAGAGGGGTTGTATGTACAGAGCATAAATTACAGTGTAGCCCAAAAGTACCCTAATTCAAAGTAAGTGGAATAGTATTTAAAGTTAAAAAGATTCTCTCAGAACCAATACTCATGTCCCAAGGTAACTATTTGTGTTAATGCGTGAGCGCGCGCACGTGCGTGCACGCACACACACACACACACACACACACGTATATAATAAAATATAAAAATAACAAATAAAGATTTTGAAATTCAAGCTAGCAGCCTGAGAACAAGTTGCTGGATTTATGTTCAGAACAATGTAACAGCCAGCACCCATAAGAGACAGTCATTCTCTGTCTCATTATATTCCTTAAAACTATAATGAAGAGAACTCTATAGACTAAAATTATAATAACACAACAGGTATAAATCAGAGCTATTACCTGTCGCATTGCAGTTAAAAATCCTTGGGGGTTAAAAAAGCCTGTCATCCAGAAGCAGTGGGGTCGGCCATTGAAAACCCAAGAGGTAAATTGGCAGTTTCTTTCTATAAGTTCCGTAAACCAGAAACCCAATGTACTTGAAACCCACGATGCCTGAAATACACACATTAAAACAATTAGCACAGGTTTAGTTTTGCTAACTGGCTATGTTCACAGGGGGAAAAAAATGATAAAATACCAATTTCACTTTTAGAATTTAGAAGTCCCTAAGACATGAATTGCCCTGGGGTTCTGAAATTTAAGTTTTCAAACGAGTCTTCATCCTTAAGATTATGTGATAGAATCAGCTAATAATCACATGAATACCAGATCGATTGAGAGCTCAGATGCTGTCCAAGATGCCTGCTGTCAACAGAATCACCTTCCACTTACAAACATATTCCTCCCCAATTCTGCTATAGAGCAATTAAAACAATTGCATTAAATTTAACTGGTTTCAACTATTTTCCTTAGGTTACATTTTCAGTAGATACAGTATAAAACAAGATCTCTATTTACATAAATGTGCTCATGGTCTAATCAACACTTTAAAATATATTCTGTGAATAACAGCTCAGAGAAGTCTTTTTCCATTTATCATTTTTAATGAGGCAAACAACAATTATTTTCTGAAGTTTTTGTCCCTTAGAATGTACTTTGATTTCTTCTGATGAAGGAGCAGAAATAGAAACATAGGTCACTTTACTACCAACAAATTAAATACATTCATTGCCTGTAACATTCCTCCTGAATTCACATGTGGAGTTCCTGTTGTTACAACTGGCATGGATATGTCATTAATGTTATCAGCAGCTGTATTGGTGGGTATCTCCAAATCATATTTTATAACATCTTACTGCAATTGCAGTATCTTATGTATGAATAAATGTAGTGATCAACTTGGATAGATATACCACTTAAATTTCAAATATCTTAAATTTATTTTCCTATTTTTCAAAAGAAATTGAGATTCCAAAGACTGATAGCATATTGATTGTATTTTTCAAATTAGGTAACTCATTCTATTCAACATTTATAGATGTTATAAAGACAAGTGTTGCTCCTACATTTGTTCTGAGGACACAGGGAATCATCAATGAGAAGGTGCCTCCTGGCAAGAACCCCTGTTCCAGAGTCTCTGAGGCGCTGACCAAGCCGGGTTTGCCAGGTTAGTGGGTAACAAAACAGTGGCCAGTGACGAGGTAGGTTCTCCTTCTGTCATCGGCAGTGAGGAGAGGCAATTCAGATAGAAAACTCTCTGACCTTGGCAATAAATTTGCTAAGGTGAAAGGTGAGGAAGGGGTCCAGTCAAAGGAAATTCTGAGTTTCTAAGCTGTATGATTAAAGCGATAAATAGTACTATCATCGAATAAGATGGAGAAGCCAATAGGAAGGGCACTCCCTAGATACTTTATGCTACCTGTGGGGCACACTGCCTTGGAATCGGCCCAAACCCTGGGTGAGACATTGGAGGCTCAGCACTAAGTGGGCCTCTTCTGAATGACTATCAGTTCTAATCCCATCCAGTCTCACCTTCCCAATAACCTGAGTAACTTCAAAAAGGCCAAGCACCTAGTCACCCCATGACCCAGTCTCATCTCTAAATGCCATCCTCTCTGTACATCCCCCAATCTGACCCAAACCTCAGTCCGCTGCCCTCCCAAGTCTTTCTACTGCACCTTCAGCATCCTCAATGCCATGACCAGCAAACCCCACCTCTTCCCTGAACATTCCCCCCACATCCTCTGTAATCTCTCCCCCATGCTCATCCAGAAAAGGGGCTTTGTAGCCCCTCAGGATGTTAGATGCTGTTTACTGCACAGCCATCAGGACCAGGGAAGGAATGGACATCCCTGTTTCTGACAAGCTATCATTTCCCATTATTCCCTTCCTTTGACTCTCAGGCACTCTGGACACCCCGTTCTCACTTTTTCTTGTTTCTGTCCCCACTGGTCACTCCCTCTTATTTATCAAGGAATTTGGCTTCTGGTTTGCTCTTCCATTCCATCCCCAAAAGAATCATGAGGTTGAGGATGAGGATGATGGCGATGATATAAATGGTGATGATGAAGGTCTAGTGATGGAGATGCTGGTGGAGAAGGCAGTGGTGATGTTAGTGATGATGATGGCGGTAAAAGAGGTGGTGGTGACAGAGTGGTGAGAGTGGGAGCGCTGGTGGTAGGGGTGATGGTGACGAACGTGCTACTGATGGAAGCAGTGCTTGCAGAGATGCTGGTGGTGCTAATGGTGGTGGTAACAGAAATGGCGGGGGTGGGGGTGACGGAGGCGGTGGTGGTGGAGCTGGTGGCCTGGAAGGGACGATGATGAAGGTGGTAATGAAGTAGTGGTCACGAAGAAGGTGGTGGTGGTGGAGGTGGTGGCGGTGGAGGTGGTGGCGGTGGTAACGGTGGTGGTGGTACTGGAGGTATGTGCTTTTAAGAATAATAATAGCAAGTACGTGCATAACACTGGCCATATGCCAGGCACTGTTCTAAGTGCTTTACATTCATCAACTCATTTAATGCTCACAAGGCCTATAGCAGAGGTGAGACTAATAATAATTCCCTCGTTACAGATGAGGAAATTTAGGCACGGTAAGTCGAGCAGCTTATCTGAGCTTGCATGGCTTGGATGTGGCAAAGGCACAATTTGAACACAGGTATTCTGGCTTCAGAGTTCAGCTCATAACCCATTAACTGCATTTATTTCCTTTCACTAATCATTCTTGGTGACACCAGGATCCATGTGAATGACCCATTTAATGCCCTACCTTCTTATCTCATGACCTCTGATCTCTAACAAGCCATTTAATTCACACAATCCCACACTTGCACTTTAAGCCTTGTCCTCATCAAACACTGTCCTCTTGGGCGAAGCACATTATCTCCACAACTTTATTTCCTTCCAGGGAGTGAGAGCTCCATTTACAAAACACTCCGGGCTTCGCTATCCCCTCAGTCACCTTACTCCAAGGACTTAAAAAAACATATCTGGCCTAGGGGAGGGGAGGTGTTACAGAGACAGTTTGTTAAATGACCAGCGACTTTTCCTCCCATGTGGGAAGTATCCCCCAACACGTCCCAGTCTGCCATTCAGTCACACTGGGTCCCTGCATCTGTTCTGATCCATGGAGGTCAGACCCAGTGCACCCTATCCATTTCTCCCTGCTCCTGACTTTGACGGCTCCACAGGCCATATGGTGGAAGAGCCACCACCAGATGGGTCCCATTGCAACTGTGTGGAGCCGAGGACCCCAAGATTGGTAGTCGAGAAATAGAAGTAACCTAAAATGTGTGTCAGTAGATCAGCACGAAGACAGTAGGTGATTAGGAAAGTCCCATCAGCAGCATGAAACGCAGAGATACATGTTCAGAAGCATAGCAACTTTCTCTTTTTCTTTTGGTGCTCAGACGCCTGCAGAGAGCCCACACCCTGCTCTGCTCTGGTGCTCTCATTTCATAAGAAGTCACCGCAGGAGGGCCCTGCAGACACCTTGCTTTTGGACTTCCCACCTCTAGAACTGTGCAACAATAAATTGCCATTGTTCAACCACTCAGTCTGTGGCAGCTCATTAAGCAACCCCAGAAAACTAACACATCTTCCATTGCACTAGCCTGGGGAAGCCCAACATGGCACGACCTTGATCATTCACCTTCCCTGGCCCACTCCCAGTCAGTTGAGTGCAGCTGGAGGAAACTGTACAACTGCACAGATGTGGTTCGCTTTGCGTCCATGACTTCAGATCGCAAGTGGGTAAAGCTTGTCACACTTCCCTACCTGCCATCCATCCCGGCTTCATCCTTCTGCCAAAACTTCCGGGAGGGCAAAGTACATGCACTTATGAAGGGGAGCAGAGACTTTCTGAAAGAGCTGTGAGTCAAGTACTTGATGAGTTCCTACTGCAGGGGCAGAGTCACCCCAGGTGATGGCATATGACAGATCCAATTTCTCAGGAAATATGACATAAAAATACAGCAACACCCCTACGCTTTTCCAGGTCTTATCTCCACCATAATCAATCTTGCAATTTCACTTATATCTCCCCACAAATGCACTTGCATGCAATATACAGAGAGGCTTAAATGGAGAACAAAGAAACTATGTCATTTAGGCTCCCTGCCCCCTCAAATACACGCGTCTTCCTGCTTAAAAGGACATTCAGTCCTTATTTTACTTTTCAAGTAGAAAATTATTTCTTAAAACCAAATCTCTCATGTGACACAATTACCAACAGGTAATCAGTAAGCACACTTGTTATTTTGAGAGATATATACTCACATATCTACAAAGGAAAGAAAATGTTTAAATGTGTGTGTATCTCCAAACACTCTATTCTATGAAACTGGTATCATGGGCTTTGAAGCCCAAGAGCTTGGATTTAAATTCTGATTCTTGGACTACTTAAATGTGTGATTTGAGAAAAGATTTAACCTCAGCCAACCTCAGGTTCCTCATCTGTAAATTAAGGGCAATAAAATGTAAGACTGAAATGAAATAATACATGTAAATTGCCCAGTAGATTGCCTGATATGTGGGAGAGGCCACATAATTTCATTCCCTACCTATAATCTAAAAATATAGGACTATAAGGGGATTAGTCCCTAAGCAAAAGAACACTTTTAAGTAAATTATCCTTAGATGCTTTCCACTTGCCAGTTGCAACTCTTCGCCACAATAAAGTGATTAGGTAGAATAAGAGCAGAGACGTCAACATACTTTTTTCCACTGAGCAGGAATTCTGGCATCAAACATGCAATTTAATGCATCACGAAGATTTTCACTCATGATGATGGTGCCATCGATGGCAAGTTTTAGCTCGGTCAGGGTGCTGCGGACCAGGGTGAGCACCCTTTGCATTCTGTCTATCTCCTGCCGGAGGAAAATGTTCATAGGCTGGAATGGCCCCATCTTCTGTAGCCTCTCTCTTACCTGCCACGGAGACATTCAGCACACGTCATAAATTAGAAAGCTGTTAATGTTTATGTCACTGGGGCTTCTGAAAAGGCCCCAAAATTTACAATTCTGTATGTGTTAAATTTTTATTTTTTTTCACTGCCAGAAAAACAGACAAGAAATAAGAAAGGGAACATCTGTTAGATGACCAGTTGATTTTTCATCCCATGTAGGAAAGAACAAGCAGCCATTAATTCAAAAAAAAAAAAATGTGTGGCCACAACCATGCAGCCTTTTAAATAGCAACTGTGATTATTGGGAAATACTCACTTACTGCTAATCTAAGACTTTCAGACACACACATGGACACACACAGACGTGCACACAGACATGACCATTCTGCTGGCTGCCTCAAAAAACTATACATATATTTTCAGAGCTTTCTGTTTTCCATCAAATTATTCATCCATCCATCCACCCACCTGCGCACCCAATCATTTCCATCCTACAGGTTTTAATTGAGAATCTTCTATGGGTCAGTTTTTGTGTAGGCTGAGTTGCTTTCTCCAAGGGTAGCTCTGACAAATTCAGCAAAAAGAGGGAGACATTTCTAAACCCCATTACTTACCATATTTCTGCATTTAATTATTACATTTTTAGATATTTTTAATGCTTCATAAATATTTCAACCACTGCTAGACATGAATGACCAGCTTCCTGTTACTATAATGAAAGGTGTTTGTGAAAGCTGATTGCAGTATTGATTTTCTCCAAGCAAGCGATCAGAATTTCTTCCCAGGGAAATTATTCCCTTGGTGATAGGTCCTTGAGTATGGTCTGTCATACTAGCAACCAAAATGGCCTGCTTCATTAAAAAAGAAAAAAGAAATAGGATGCTGAAGAAACAAAACCCTGCAGGTTTCCTTTTGAAAGCAGGTGGCAAGGGGACAATGCATAAAGAAATAAGGTGACCCTGTGACAAACTCATCACACTCGGTCTGGATCATCTTTTAAGACAATATGGAAAGTAGGCCAGTTATTTTTGCTTTTATCAAAAGTTTTAAATTTTTATCCGGGTAAATCTTTTCACAATTTTCTAAAGTGTCTAAAATATTAAATTTCATAATCATAAAATTGCTTAGAAATTAGTTGAATATTAAAAAGACATACTAGTTTTTAAAACCTGTGAGAGGAGGAAGCTGCAAAGCAAGTTAATGATAAAAATACAGACTGAAGGAAATTAAGAATGCCTGAGTTTTAAGGTATACATTAAATTACACAATATTTTTTGAATAATCAGGTGCTAAACTCTAAAAATACACTACTTTTCTTTCAACAAATAACAATGTGAAGCACCTCAAGGGAAAGTTCTAGAAAAGGAATCCTAACCCATCATAATTAAAAATATAAACCTGTAATTTAATTTTTAATATTAACACTCAAATCAAGTCTTATTATTTATATGTCAAAATGATCATATTTATAGATTCATAAAACTTCTTTTTCTGGGTTTTCAGGAAGTGAGTTTTTTAAATAATTTTTTTTTCAGAAAAATTATGTTTGCCCTTGTTCCTCATTCCCCCAGCCAAACAGACACATCCACAGTGGACATTCTGTCAGGATTTTGACTCACTTCAAATGGACCATAGTCAGGGGGTAGCTTTTCCAGCATGTCATCAGCCAGCCGGGCCACCACGGCCTCCCGGGTCTCATCCCCTCCACCAGAGCTGTCCTTGGGTTGGATGCCCAGGATGGTGTCCAGCACGTCCTTGGCCAGCTTGCTCTGGTACGTGATGTCAGCATTGGGGTGCAGCCCGAAGACCTCGGGGCTGTCGTAGGCGGGCAAACTCTGAACAACAAGTACCCCGGTAAGCACAGACTCCTGACATAAGGACCAGTTAAATTATGCTGTCTTAGGAAAGAAGCATGCTTTTATTAGAACATGCATTTATAAAAGATGTCTTATTTGTATCAGACCACCACCTCGATAATTTCTGCAGAAAAAAAGTCAAAATAGCCTTGAAAAAAATTAACATTGCAAAACATTTCAGCTTATGGTACTTTAATGTTTGCACCTCCAGCAAATTTAATCAAAAAGATACTGTCTTATTTTATAATATGTAAGACAGAGAGGGAGATAGGGATTGGTATTTTGTTTTCTGGAGGTCCGATCTAATTCGAGCCAGCTGTTTAAATGAATGTTTTCTAACTAATGGTTACTATGTTTTTAAGATACTGGAAAATGACAGTTTGGGCAATTAGGGCCCAAATAAAGGAACTGTATTCTCCTGGAGAGAGACTAAGAAAATAGAAATATATTAAGAGAGGAATAGAGTCAGTCAGGAAAACAGCAAAAACAAGCAGGCAAAATTCTCCCTCAGCTACTGGACAAAAAGAAAATTTACCTGTAATTTGACATATATTTCTACATGTGAATTGTATCCTAATCTTTATTGTTGTCTTACTCATAGTTCCCCTCCTTTTTACTCCCTTATTTTATTCCTTTTTATATAATGTCTTCTTATGCGTGAACTCAAGTACATTGTGAAATGAGATTATATATATACAGGCATATCTAAATTTATACCTCAAAGGCACTTTTTTATTCAGTGCTAATCATTTAAAGACATATACAGCACAATTAAGACACATGTATTTCCTGATTTGAATTACTAAAAGTATAGAGATGGTAATATATGATAAATTCATCACATTTATTTATCACAGAACCTCTAAATATACTAATAAATTTAGCCCTTTGGGGCTGTCGCGCTTTAGCTTGTTCATTCTGAGATAAATCTTGGAGGCAAAAGAGATGGCTAAACAATGATCTAATGAATTCAGGGTATAGAGACAGAAACTGTAGTTACCTTGAAACACAAATCAATTTTCTTCCCCAAATTTCCTGTCAAAATCCATCTTACTCTTTCTTAGAGCAGTGTTTCTCAATTAGGTGATTCTGGCATTGTCTGGAGATAGTTCTGGTTGTAACAACTGGGTAAGGCACATATGACATCATGTGGGGAGAGGCCAGGGTTGCTGCTAACCACTCCCCCCAGGACAGCCCCTCACCACCCCGCCATTATGAAGAAGTGTCTGGTGCTGCATGAGGAAGCTCTTATATGAATGGACTCTTGCGCATACTCACACACTGTCCATTAGGCTGGGATTAAGGAACAGATGTCACAAAGTAAAGTATGTGGATTGAATACTAGAACAGACTGTGTGGAGGCTGTCTCTGCCCTATTATCACAGGTCACTGGAGTCTCACAGGTAGGGAGCTCCAGGGAATTTGTGTAGGTTCCCCAGTCCTCATCTGCTCAATCAATCACTTCCCCAAAGAATATTCTTCACTGAAGCATTAAAAGAGGATGGGGGGAAGGCATTCATACAGAACAAATATAACTATTATAATCATTAGGTAAATATAAACATATGAAGAAAGCATCTAAGGTGGAAGGTTCAATAGGTATCACCATTAAAATTTATACTAAAGGGAGTATATGAGTAAGTGGTGTAAATAAACAACCAAAAGGTCAAATGCTGAGGATATTTACTCTTGGATAAAACTTTGATATTGACAAACCTGGATATAATGAAGGTAGTTATCCACTGTGCTGCACTTTGGAATATTATATCCTTGGTAAAAGCTGAAATCTGGTCCGAACATATTCTCACTAAACCAAACCTTAGCAAATGTGTTCAACAACCTCTTATCGTAGTCATCAGTGACTCTGCCTCCATACTGAATCTCGCCTACCATGTAGCGGACGGTGGTCCAGGAGACGCCCTGGGAAAATGGAGAAATAATTGTGTAGAACTGACTACTGTCTTGTTCTCATTTTCCCTGCCAAGGAACACCCACGTGCTCATTGTCATTAGTGTCACTCACTCATTCGTAATGTAAACAGTACAGAAAGAAAATTAATTAGGCAAACATAAGTGATTAGTACTCAAAGCACAGCCTCATAACTTGAAATAGGCCCTGCTTCACATTTTTATAGGTTAATTTCAATTAGAAAAAAATAATTTCTAAATTTTTTTTTTAGAATATCAGGGCAGTTCTTTAAGAAGCACACACGTCAAAAGTAATCTAGACTTTATTTTCATTTTTTAAGATTTTTTTAAAAGTTTCCCCACCCATTCCCCCCACCTTCTAAAGAACTCTGTTAGGTTGTCTTATGTGTAATATCAACTTGACTTTAAGGAATAAAAAAGATAATCAAAATTTGTTTACTTTTTAGCTAAAAATCAAGAGGAAAGTATTACCCAAGTTGCTATGACTTAAAGAAAATGATTTTGCAAGCACAGAAAATCATCACTCTCACAAGATTTACTCCAAAGCTGGGGGTGGGGGAGTCCTGTTAGCCTGAGGACGCAGTTACCAGTGGCATGAAGCAGTACACGCACAGTACCTTTTTGATATCCATGTCATCTAAGTGGTTTTGGATGAACTGCACAGTGGCATTAAAGTCCGCTTGATTAAATTCATAAGGGATGTTCCACCCCAGGGGACCAAACTTCCGCCTCTCCTGGACTGTGGAGTGCAGGAAAGCCACGGCGTACAGCATGGGCTTCCACTGGGCCACCGTGCTCACGTCCAGCAGGTCTTGGCTCACACCTGTTGAGGTGAGCTGGGTGAAAACTTGTATCATCTCTCAAACCTCTTTATTTTCTGTTACTTTTATAAGTTATTAATGCTTTCTGAAAATTCCTAACATTAAACTTCACTTATCTTAAATTATTTTTTATCGCATTCATACAGCAACTGTAATTTCACTTTTGGGTATCCAGAGGGCACTTCTCTCTAAGAAACCCACAAAGAGATTTGAGGGGAGGAGGGGCTCGCTAATGTGGATCAAGTTCCTGCCCATCTACCAAGATAATGTGGGGATAAAACAGAGGAGGAAGAATGATGGCAGTAAAATGAATACTGCTACTATAACAACCACTAAATAATAATAATAAGTTTAAATTATTATTATTTGGAGCATGTACATACACTATTTTAATTAATATTATTGTTAATACTGGGTATAGAAGCCCATGACAACCTAAATATATTCTTGAAACAATAATTATGATTATAAAATATATCTATATTACATATGTAAAAAAATCATATATTTTCTCACTTGGTAATTTTTTTTCACTGCCATCATCCTTCCACATCCATTTTATCCTGACATTACCCTATAAACAGGCAGGAATTTGAGTCCTGTTAATAATTCCAAAAAAACTCTGTAGATTTTTCAGGATGATATAGAATGATTATTATATTCATTATTGTTATTACATATACTATATTCCAATAATCATGGATAGATTTTATTGTCCCTATTTTAAAATTGAAACTCCAGTTGTTTGAATGACTAACACCCAAGAGAATAAAGCATTTTGTTGAGAGAGGATCAGAAGCAGAATTTCTGACTCAGTGGTCCAGGCTCTTTTCATGACCATGAGCCCCAGACGGGAAGCCATGAAGTACAGGAAGCAAAGGCAAAGGGAATCATCTCCGTTCCAGTTTTGAATGGAGGGCATTTGGTCTGGTTTTGTTGTTTTTGTTTGATTGCTGACTTAGCTTCCATTCTGACATTCTGACATTTGGCTTCATGAAATGAGGGCAGACCATAATTTTAATTCATCCTCTCCTCTTGGAAGAGGCTACCATTCTCCTTCAGGTATGGAGGAAAAGTCCATACATGACCAAAATATCAATTTTAGATATTAACCCAAAAAAGTAGGTGTCTAGCAGAGAATAGTATAGGCCAAAGTAGAGCAATATTGGGAAAACAAGAAAAATAGAAGGTGGGAAATCCTGAGCTCTAGCCAGGCCTAGCACTGCCAGGTCACATTCCACAAGGACCATAACAAAGGGGCTCTCCAGTCCTCATCATGTTAAATAATAGTACTATTTGCTGTAACTATGCCCTAGCTAATTCTGTTGTTACAAGCTCTTTAAGAAAACAATTTAAGTGCAAGAACGCCAATAAACTTGGAAGTATTCCTCCACTCACCGCCATATGTTCTTTTCAGTCCTGCCCTGAGGCCCTGCGGAGGCTCATTGGCAAACTTAATAGACATCTGAAGAAGTGTAATGGGAAACTGCTTATGAACCTCAGTGGTCATCCACAGGCGGAAAGCATCATGCACAGTCTTGGTTTCTGTAACAGTGTCCATTAGCTCATCCATGAAATCGAGTCCCAGGTGGCAGTTCTGCAGAAGTGCCCATCCTCCCTGAGTCAACAACAGTGGATGGAAATGAGGCTGTTTTGTGTTTTGCCCAGAGATTTAAATTAGTACGTTATTTAAAAATTAAGTAATTAAAATTGAACAGAAAAGCACACTAAACACTAAATTAATCTAGGTCAAATCTAAGGATACAAGAATGTTTAATTGAAATAGGTATATTGTTTCTTATTCCCTATACTGGTCCTACATATAACATACCAACTGTAATAATATGTGGTAGGAGTCATGAAAATAACAAAAGTAAAGCATAAAAAGAAATAACAGCACTTGCAAGTTAACATGCTGATTGAAAATATCCGTTTAGCTCAGCTCCCTCCCCCAAATTCCATGAAAACCACAGCAAAGGGACTTTTTTAAAGGCATGAACTCTTAAGGACAAAAACAGTGAGGGCGAAGACACTATCTCTAACACAGAAAGTGAACTCAAGAAAGCTGACTCCTCAACTGACAGGAAAGCGGAGCTGTAACCTGAATTATACCACATAACTCCCAAAACACTCAAGAATAGGGGACAAGAGGTCCCTCAGGAAGTCAGAAAAGAAGATGGTCACACAAGAAGATTGCAAGTCCAGACCCCAACATGCCCCTGCCTCCCCTAAAGAAAGATGGAAAGCTGATTTCCTTTAAAAGGCAAAACAGACAGCATTTGGACTGGAACACACCAGCACATCACAGTATAGGAACCTCACTGAAAATGGGTGAAAAAAATTTTCCCACTGATTTTGAGACTCACCTATCATGACTCCCACTGACTTCCCAGAATACTGTTAGCTGCATGTATACACTCTAAAAGATGGAAGAACTTTCACTGGGGAATTTGACCATTTTAAGAACAAAAGCCTTAGAAAATAAGCCATCTTTTTCATAAATTATTCTATGAGCATAAGAATATTCCTTGTATAAAGCAGCACTGGCAAAATCTTAGGTCATACAATAATAATTGACTCAGTATCTAATCTACAGAATTTTTTTTGTTAATATTACCTACAATATCCAGATCATAATCCTGAGTTGTTTTCTTGAGTCACTAACTTTGGATCATTTAGTTTTGACTAGTGCAGCCTGAGTTATTTCTTTTTCAAAGAAAAAAAATCAAGCACTAGATCTAAAATTTTAGTAGTTACATATAAAATTGCTCATTTTGGAATTTGACATATCCCCTTATCATTTTCTTTGGAAGAATGTACCACATTAAATAAACTATTTTTTTTGTCCTTTGAATAAATTGACACTGAGTACCCATTCAAAACAAAAAAATTAAATATAAAATTTAACAAGAAAAGGCTTTAGTTGTTCTCCTTCATCTAGCATACAGGTAAATACTGATCTAAGTATCTTAGGTGGGAACTTTGATGTTTCAATGTTCACCCACAGAATCCCACGGCCTAGGTTCTTCCTTTGTATTGCTGCACTCTGTATTAAATGTTTTGAGTTCTTACGGATCATCCATTTTACTACTATTGGGTACCTGGTTCATTCTGTTATATTGCCTCAAACCTTTCTTACAAAACTTTTAAAAAGCTATTGTCCCTGACAACTTATAATCATGCTAATAATAATGGATAAACTAAAGGCTAAAAATATTCCATTTAAATTCTAATTTGGTTGCCTGAAACTATATTATTATTAGCTACACGATTATATATTTTAAATTCAAGAAGTGCCATGTTAATGTTAGTATTTTTGTTCTACATGCAGAAATATGTAGAGAGAGGAATAGAGAAAGTAGAGAGGAAGTAGGGAAGAAAGAGGCTCAGATCAAGGCCTACCAAGAAGCCCTCATGTCAGACCAGACCTGGGAGTCTTAAATAGAGATGAATTTTTTTCACCTCCAGAAACACTTCAGTCAGACCCCTTCAGCCTTCCCTCTCCCATTGCAAACTAAGGTCATCAGACACAACACAACCCATGTGAAGGGCCCCTGTCTCTCACCAAAGCTGGTGGTAGAGCCTCGAGGTAAATATGGAGGTTCTAAACCCAGTGGGCTCAGTTCTAGAGCAGGAGAAAGGGACTAGGTGCAGCACAATGGTAAGGTTCTTGACTGAGCAACAGTGACCTAGAACCCAGTGGTTTCATGGTGGGGCCAGTGGTTGCAGGTTGGAAGGGAAGAAAGCCAAGCCCTGCCTCAGCATGGGGAGTCCCTGGAGGGCACAGAAGGAGTCTTGAGATATGAAGGATAGGCAGACACACGAAAGAGGAGTAGGGTCTGATCCAGAAAGGGACTTAAACTAAGACTGTGTGTCACTTTATCGAATAGGAACGAGAAGCCAAGTGGTTCTGCATCCCCTCCTTTCTTAGCCAAGGTATGGAAAAGAGGGGAGCAGGGATGGTCCCCCAGGCTGAGCTAGACACCCCAGAGAGGGCTAGGCCAGGGTAAGCACTCAGAAGAGCCTTATCCAGGAGGCGAGTTCTAGAAATGAAATGGACGACCTCCAGCATCCTGTTAACTTAAGTCCCTGAAAGTGCTCTACCTCTGAACTAAGCCCTCCTATTAGCAAGGTCAACATGTGGTTTCCAGAATTTAGTGGCTCCCAAGCTAGGCCTAAACACTGCGTGCCGTAGAATTTGCAATCCTCAAAGGGCATTTGGAACCCTGCCTGGAAAGCAGCAGGCCAGGTGCCCTAGAACCTCTGGCACCACTGCAGGGTAATGGCAGATTCCTGGCCTCTGGGATCTGGGCCAGGCCTGGGGGCTCCAGGAGACAGACTGCATTCTGGAACCGAAGAAAGACCCTGGTGTTATAGATGCTGGAGTGTTGAGGATTCCAGAGGGAAGCTGGAGGGGCTGGAGTATATAACAGAGGGAGCAGGGCTCTGGACCCCAGTGAGGGTTTGGAATCTGGAATGGGGTTTAGCATTATGCAAGCTGGTTAGGAAATAAGATTTTCAGTTGGGTAAGTTTTCCGTAAGTCAAGGCTCAACAGAAAAATATTGTAAATTGTATTTGTTTTTCCATGAACATTTTCTAACAGATATATGTTTCTTATTTAGTAAACAGCACTATGTAAATTTAAACTCCTAACAATTCACATGTTCCTTCCTGACATTGTTAACTCTATAACCTGCAATATGAACAACATAACAAAAAAGTAGACATTCGGCCTCACGTTTGCCATGGTCTGCTGCAGGAGCTTGCGCGCATGGACCTCCTGACCCTGGCCCATGGACACGTAACGAGTTTCTATTTTTAACCTCTTCCCCAAGGCAATGATGGAATCTGTAGGATCTGAGCCCATAGACAGGAGGCAGATGAGTGGTGTCCGTGGATCAGATTCCTCCCATGTCTTTTCCAAGTCCAAGATGACTCCTTCGGCATAGCTTTCTCCCATGGAGTCCATGATGTACTTCCGGGCCTGTCAAAAATGGTACACATGTCACCAAAACTTGCTGTAAGTCCTTCACGTGTACAATGCAGTGTGGTTTGCAAAATTTATTTGTGTAGGTTATCACAGTGATGTCCACACTAACCCTGCCTGTTACATAGGGCAGAGACTTTCATAATTATATATCTTATACTTTTTTCATTTGGTAATCTTTTTTTACTGCTGTCATCCCTCCACATCTATTTTATCTTCATTACCTTCTAAAGTAGCAGGAATTTGAGCCTTGTTAGCAAACCCCCCAAAAAAAAATCTTTGTGTATTTTCAGATTGATATATAATAATTATAATACTCATTATTATCATTAAATGCACTGTTTTTATTAAAATGTCTTCTAATCATCCTGATTAGATTTTATTGTCCCTACTTTACATATGAAAAAATTGAAACCCTGAGAGAGCATCATTCCTACAACCAGGAAATTGAATATTCCCTAATGCGCACAGTCATGCTCAGACAAAATGCTGAAAGCAAGCCTGATGCTTCTGGGGAATGGGGACTGAATATGTCTATACTGCAGATCTTCTGTTACACCTCCCCAAAAGGTATCTGATTCACTAAAGGAATCTAATCAGAGAATAAGGACTTTAGAGGAGAGAACATGTTTCCAGAGGAGCCTTCTAGATATGGTTTAAGACCTGGGTTATCATAAGGGTCATGGAAAGCCATTAAGGGAAGGGCATAATCATATTCCCATTTCTTCTAGAACACACAGGATGGACTAGAATGGACAAGAATGACTATAAGAGACCGGTTAGGAAGTCATGGCTGTCATCAGCCTTGGATGTCAGAGCCAGGATGCAGGTGCAAAGGAGCATGGAAGACTTCAATTTCAGCTTTGGATCAAATAAAATGTTACATGAAAAAAAAATAATCTATAAAGAAAGGAAGAGAGGGAGGGAGGGAGGAGGAGAGGAAGGGAGGGAGGGAGGGAAGGAGGGAAGGAAGGAAGGAACAAACAAACGAATGAACGAACAATTTTATTTGAACCTTCTATACTGCCCTTAAATAAGGCAACTGTTTGACAATTCATTTGGGCAGAATAAAAGTAATGAAGTTGAGAAGAAAAACTGAAGGAAGGGTGATCTCCTTGTCCTGAGTTGTGAAAGTCCTTTCCCTTTTCTCAATAAATCATCAAACCTAGTTGTTTCATTATTGCACAGTACCTAAGTGGGCTTGGAGACGGTTACTCCATACATTTTTAACACTCCCTCTGGAGAGTGATGGGGAACATTTCCTACATTCTATTAGAAACCCTGCCTGCCATTACCTCCTAGGCTCCCTTGAGAAGTCCTTGAAGAATCAACCCATGTGGAATATTAGTTAAATTTTTCATTGTGAAAGCAAAACACAAGTCTTTTTTCAGTAAATTTCCATGATGGTAGGCCAGCAGGTTAAAGATATTTAAAAAGATGGATCTTTTGGTGGTAGGATTCACATTTAAACCATATGTAAAATATGTACAATTTAAAGAATTTTAGGCCAACCTCCTCCCTTGCATCAAGGGTTGTGACCCCTTCTGGGGAAATGAATACCGGTTTGGCAGTGACCTGCTTCCCCTCTAGTCTCTCTCCTCCCTAGCAACCTCCCATTCTTCCTACTTAGGGAACATTGTTTTATCACTAGCAAAATAAAGCAGCCACATCATTTCTGAATTAATATAAAAATGGCACAGAAGAATAAGACATTTCCTTTATGTTATATCTATACACCAACCTTAAAAACATGGTTTTTTCACTCACTCTTGTTGGACCATTTGCACCAAAGAAGATTACTAAATCACTTAGCCTAAATGTGCACCTCAGTACATTTATTTGTTGCTCACTTTTCCATGTTTCACATTTTATTGCTAGAAAATTACATGGAAGACTACAAGAAAATCTCATTGGAATTACCATCTTAAATGTTTCTTTACATTTAAAAAGACATTCTCCTTTAAAAGATTCTTTTAGTTTTTTTTTAATAGGTACTTCATACCTGGGCAATGGTTCTGTCAGGACACCAGGATCTAATAAGAAGAAGACGTCTAAAGCAGTCAAGGGATTTGTCATAGGCATTGGGGAGAGGTTCTTCCTCAGGGTTTTCCTTATCGAACCAAATTTTCCACATTTTTTCATTTCTTGATATCTGAAAAGACAAAGGGATAAGACATGTGATACACCATGGAAAAGTCTTTCAGTAATAGTTCACAGATATGTGTCATTGAATTTTCTGACCATTCCAGACATGTGTGAAAGATATTGCTCGGTTACTTTTTTTATTTTATGTTCTAATGCCCAAACAATCAAATGTTGTTTGCTCTAAAGTCACTCTGTATTAACACCGGCCTACAGCTAGCTTCTGAAAAAGAGAGAATAGATGTTTAATTTTGTCTATGTCTTTGTGGTAATAAATTCGTAAACAATGAAGAAATCAATGGAAACTCATTTTCATTATTTAAAGGAAATCTGATTTACTCCATGAAATTCTCTCACGATGAAGTCTCATTCACTTATGTTTCTTCATTTCCCAGAACAATTCTAAGTACCAAAAAAAAAGGCATTTAATACATATTTTTCTAATTGAATGAAGTTTTCTGGCCAATACTCTACTAATGAATTAGATGTATACCACTTAATATCAAATAGTCAGACTCTAGCTTCCTTTAGACCACTGATAAGGAGGAAAAGAACACAGTCCATTATCCCCTGGAGCTTAAAGACATCAAAGAGAGAAGAGCATTACATAAGCAAACATCTCAAAAAACAGAACAAACAACATCTACAAACAAATATAATCTTATGTTCTCTGGTATATTCCCTTTGATTAAATAACCAAGTGTACTTCTTAGTGGTCTATTAAGAAACACCATTCCAGGTTTGTATTTAGAAAGTGTCATGTAAGAATGAGAAATAACCTCTTTCACTCATGAAAGACTACATAATGTGAAGAAATTGAAGGCATAAGATATGACCTCCAGAAGATAACAACTTCAGTAACAGGTAAGGTCACCAAGAGTCATCCTGGGGGGAAATGAGCTAGAGTGTATTAAAATCTCCAAAATGAACATTACTTAACCTTTCCAAAATGGTTGTACCTTAATTCTATGGTAATCATCAGTTGTAAGTCAAGATATAAAAATATGGCAGAACTTAAGCTTCTGACCAACTTAAACTGAGGAAGTAAAAAACCAAGCTTAAGAAATTTTCTGGTTAAAAAACAATTTTTTTTAAGCCCTCAACCTGTAGCTGAAGAAAGCCACCTTGCTGTCAATGTGATTTCTCTCTGGTCATCTGATTTTCAAAAAACCCTGTCTCCTGTCCTGTCTCAATTCAATTCTCTTTACTCAGGTTCCATGCTGACATATACACAAGTCATCAGCAACTGGCTGATTATGAAAGGACAGTAACTTCTAAAGATAAGAGGCCAAGTGTCTGCATTAGATTCCTACCTGGATGCCTAGCTAAGGCAGTATAATGGGAGGGGCAGAAAAATTAGAAGAGGAAAAACAAGAGGCAAAAAACGATATTTAGCATTGAGAGGCAAGCTGTTAATATTTCTTTTCATATTTAATCTCCAGAAAGAAGACAACACTTTTTAAGTATACTTAATTATTGCACCTAATAGAATCTATCAGTTTTTCTACTTGTGTATCTCCAAATGATGCTACTGACACATGGCACAGGGCAAACAACTCCTCTCTGCAAGGCAAGTCTGCAATGGGTGAAGTATGCTTTATGAGAGTGTAAGTGAGCTGTGAGGAAGGTCAAACACAAGTCATACCATTTTAAGAGTGTCAATATTAAATCTTCTCTTCCACAAATATTGTAGCTGGTGGTAAATTAGGAAACTGCTCACTGTGACATTACCCTAAGTTTATTCAAAGCACTGGTTACCTGATCAAGGACGTCTGAAAACTGTCTAAGTTTGCTGAGTTCCACCAAATTCAGCCAGGTCATGTCCAGGATCCATTTAGATGGTTTAGGGGGACAAGCTTTAAGGTCCAATGAGGCACCACCTTTAAAATTAAACATGCAAAATTATTATATTTTCCTTCTTTATTATAAGACAATCTATAAAACTGTTGCTTTTAATTTCAATTATTTTACTTCCTTAATATTCTTAAGCTCAGAAAAATAAATCATGGTGATAAACAAGATTTAAGTTTTAATAAAGGAAGAGATGATTTCACAAAAACACCTTTAAGAGTCAGTCATGTAGTTTTGGAGCCAGGCAGCTGCTGGATCCTATCTTAGCTCCATCTCGCCAAGGTCTGAAACAAGCCAGCTCTCCTGTCTGGGCCTTATTTTCAAATAAGTAGAATGGGAATAATGAACCTTGGGTGTTGTGATAATGACAGAATGACAAAAAAAATGTGTAAATCACATAAAAGAGGATCAAGGACAAAGCTAATGGTCACTAAATAAGCACCTACTGTAAATATTAAGAACCACTCAACGATGGCACAAGCTCATTCTAGAGAGAGAATTTATCTAGAAATGTCAGTAGCGCTATGTGTGTTTGAAGAGTTGTCTTCCATAAACCAGTATATAATTTATATCCATTTTGAGCACACCCCTAGGGCCCTGACTGTATCATTTGTGTTTGAGTAATCTAACCACAACAAACATTTCCATTGGGTACTGACTCCTACCTTTTCACTGATGATTTACCTAAGGTCATGTCACTCCCATATTCTCGCAGCACCATAAAACAAATGATACCTTAAAAAATGTTATTGTGGCCCACCTCAGAAAAAATGTATGTGAAAACAATCATATTTTAAGTCAAAGAAAGAGTTAGTGAGTCTTCTATTGTGTAAAATATATTGTTTAATAAATACCATCTATTAAACTGTTTCAGGGAACATACACTCTTAAGTGTAACTCTTAAAGGATATAACGAATGCATTTGGCTACCTTTAAAATAATTTTTTTAACAGAGTAGGCCATGAACAAATAATTATATTTAAGATATTTATTGAGCCAATCTCTACTTTATCCAGGCACCATGTACCCAACTAAATTGTTCTCTTTTGCCAAATCTATCTTAGTATATTTCCAACAAGGTAAGTGTAGCCTTGCAGCCATTTCGATGAAAATATAAGCTCATAAAATTGAAACAGATTGTTCTAACCCAAGTGAGTAGTTAAAGACCTAAGAACAATGCTTTTGTGTTGAAAAACACCACACCAATTTCCATGAAAATTGCCCATCTTCCAACAAAGAATAAGATACTAACAAGAGGTTTATGGAGAAGCTAATACATGGAAAGGAAAGGATGTTCCTTGCAGCCAAAGCATTATTCATTGTTTAGTACAATGTAACTGTGCCATGAATATCTTCCTTGGCTCAAAAGTGCACAATGGGCCACAAAGAATGATTGTAATGAGGAAGGAGTGGGGAGAGACATATTGCCGGATAATATGGCACCAGACTAAATAGACTGATGAATAAACAACTGAGATAGGAATAATTCAAACTAAATTCTCAAGATGATAGAGAAATCTTCAAACCCTTGCTTGGGAAAAATAAGTTTGAATTTTTACCATAATACTTTGTAAAAATAATACACGCTTGTAATGAAAGACTTATACAAGTTATATCACCCAATCATAAGTGGCAGAGTTAAGGCAAACTTAAAAAGTCCTCTAGGCTCACCCTTCCCCACCTTAGAGGTGAGTAAATTAAAATACCAGCATCCAAACACTGTTGCTATCTAAACAACATTTTCAAACGAGTGTTCTCAAACCCTTACAGAGGGGGGTCTCCTCATTGGGTTGTTCTCACCAGCACAAGGATCAAAGGGCAACCTTCTGAAACTCTGTTTCACAAGCACTATTATAGATAGTTGTTGATTGGCAGAGGCCTGCCAAAAGCTGTCCAACCTCTGCAAGCCTCAGACCTATAAAAATAAATTAAATACTAAAGGGAATAGAGCAATGCCTATCATTTGCTGAGCATATTCTATGTGTCAGAGTTTACACAAGTTGTATGATTCTCAATAATCATATTCTGTAGATAGTCATATTGTTTTATTGCTGAGGAGACTGAAGCTTGAAAGGTCATATAACCTGCTCAAGGGCACTCATCAAGAAGGTGGCAAAACCACTATTGTTCCTTAGAGTCTTCCTAACTCTAAATCCCATGGTGGTTATCATCATGTCACGCAGTTGACAGTTTTCCAACCAGACCGGCAAGCTATGTTCAATGTCATTTCCATGGGGAAATGCATTTCCTGCCTGAATTGAGAATGTCAGAAACAACTTTCCCCTTGGAAATCTCAGTCAAGTAGAGGACCAGAGTACTGAGGCCAGAAATCAGTACTATATGAAGGGCTCCTGTAAAAGGCAAATCCTACCCCTACATATCAGATCCCTCATCTTCTACATCCTCAGCTTTAGGAAAATGGGAAAATAAAGAAACCCAAGGACCAAAGTACAAGAGACAAAAAATTAACGGGGGGGGAATGTCCATAAATCATACATTTCTAAGTGCAAGCCTAACTGAATGAGTCTGTGTTGCTACTATTAGATGTACGTGCATATGCATATGAACATGGATATGTACTTGTATATACATCATTATGACTATGGACCTACACCCCCCAGGGCACAGCATGTACATATCCACACCCCCTCCCTACTGCCACCATCAGGGTCCTCTTTAAGTTCCTCTGCAAATCCACTCAGGTGAAGTCATGAAAATTCCCCCTGCCCCCAAGATATAATTGCATTGTATCTTTAAAGGTTTTGCTTCGAAAGTCATAATAGATAAAATCATTTACACCTCCCACCATCATTTCCCCAGTCACTTCAAATATTTGTTGTCCAGACATTCAAGAATGTGATAGCAGATTCATGTTTCCCAGCCTTCCCCTGGGCTATCTTGTCCCACTGGCACAGGGGATCTGTCTGCGAGCAAAGCTTCAGTACACAGAGAGTAGGTATCCACAGCCTGAACTGCACAGCTGCATCACCCACCCACTCCAGCCACCCTGCTTGCTTTGCTTTCCGTCCCTCATACTCCTTGCTTCTACTGGAGCCTTTGATGCCATCTCCTCTTCCTTCAGCGCTCTTCCTCTAAATGTCCCTGGGGCCAGTGCTCTGTGCCTCTTCCAGCCTTTGCTCACCTGTCTATCTCAGGAAGGCCTACTCCATTAGCAGTCTTATTTGATATCTCATTGACAATTTTAAACTTTCCCCACGCTGCACATTCTTACCCAGCTCTGTTTTTTCTGTAGCGCTTACCAGTTTTTCACATACTAAATAATTTACTTATTATTTTACTATTTTTTTCTGTATCACCCAAAAATTATATAAGCTCTACTAAAGCAAGATTCTTCTTTTTGTTCATTGATGTGTTCCAAGTGATTATTCTGTGCTCCAGCACACAGTAGGTTCTAAACAAATATTCATACAATTAATGAGTAAATAAAATAGCTCACATAAACATAATCTTCAGTGAAACGCAAGGAAAATGTTATAACCAGAAGAAAATATCGAACAGAACCTTCCAAATCATTCCTACACCTGCACCTGTGTACAATGCTTTCAATGTTACATTGACCTTTAATAAGGGTGAGAAACTCTTCATGCTTGACCCGGTTCCTCTGGATGTCAATCTTCAGGGTAAGCAGCAAGGTGAACAGGAATTTGTGCTCCTCGTACAAGCCCCGGGCAGCGTACTTATAGACCTCATAGGTCATGTGTTCGATGATATTGGCAATTCTTTTGCTTGTAATTGGGCTCTTGACGGACCTGGAGTAGAGAACATTTAAATCAGTGCTATCTCCCTGCCCTTTTCCATTGTCCATATAAACAACATCTTGAACAGCGAGTTAAATAACTTTGGAGGACCAGTTCTTATTTTGTATACATCAAGGGTAAGACTTCTAAATCTAAAATAACAAGCATTCTCTCAACATGAAATAACATAACAGAGTCCAAAACATGTTGAAATCAATTTTACCCGCCAGGCATTATCACTCATAACAATGTCTTGGGAATTTTTTTGTTTAACAGAAGCATATAATACCACGGGTATTAATCAAAATAGTTGGTGGAGCTTTCTCTGAGCATAAAAACGACACATGACAATGACTGGTTAGCACACTAGTAATTATGCTAATCTTAGATTTTAAATAAAAATGAGACTCAGCAAATGAAATGGAAGTTATAAATGTAAAGTCATCATCCTAGCCCACAGATGTAGAATTCAGCTTGGCTTCCTGAGCACGGACGCACCTGGCTAAGGAAAGGTCAAACAAGCCGAGAAACTGGCGGAGCGAAGTCTGATACATCTCATTAACCAAGCGCATCTCAGTGATGAGAAAATACAGGATGCTGCCCCTTGTAGCCACTGAAAGACAAAGAGTAAGGTTGCATGTGCTTTCAGGGTGGAAAATAAATGACCCAGGCACTGATTAGCCTCAATTCTAAATGAAAACAAATGTTATTTGTATGTCTTATCAATAACTATGTATCAGCAATGGGAGTCTACAACGATGCTCAACCTATGTATTTAATTCTTGCAGGCTTTGTGTAAGTAATCCACTATTTGTACTTATCAAATGGTACTTTCCATTTTAGAATTTCTAGATCTCTTATAAATGCATTTTACTAGTTTTTTATAGGTAGAAAAGACAACTGAAGGGATATCAAAGGTTTTAACACTCAGCAAATTGTGTAGACACTGGAAGGACCTCACTCTTAAGTGTCACAAAGAAGCTGTGTCTAGCCTTGGCCTCAAACGGGCAAAACAAGGCATTGCAAAGAAGATGCACCTGACTCTCCACCAGGAGAAAATATTGTTCTGATTATTTTTCCAGGAGGAATGATAACTTAATAAAAGAGACTGAATTCTTTTAGCAGTTTCCTCTAGCAGCCAATGAACAACACCAATTTGCAAATTGGTGGATAAGACTGAAGAGCTCCCATGATACCAGAGAACTACCTTCCTAACACAAAGAGTACAAACAAAACACTAGCTTATTGTTGCCAAATGATAAACAATTAGTGAATAGCCCAAAAACTGTGCATTAATTCCTCAGATTGCGCTAATTTGCAGTCAGATATTCTTTAAAAATTTTCTCTCTCCTTTCTAGTTTAATAAATTCATAGTAACTTTAAAAGATTTGCCAACTAATGCAAATTATATGCACCTAAAAAATTAATGTCACTATAAAATATTCTCATCTCAATTTAACAGAACAGAAATGTCACAAAACAAAACTGGCCACCCCACTTTGCATGGTCAATAGCATAATGTCCTTACTTCTTTCAATGTTTCTAATTCTCATTTATTTCCTGCTTTATTTTCTTGTGACATTAGTCTTTCAATACCAAACTCACCAGGTCTGTATTCCTCCCGGGCTGAGTTAATTTGAATTTCTGTCTCAGCCGAAATTTCCAGCTTCTGTGTCACCTCTTCAGCAGTCTTTTTTGTGTTACTCAGCACAACAATGAGACTCTCATCTTCCACCAAGGACCCCTGGGTACTGGTCAGCCGGTAAAGCAAATTATCTTCTAGCTCCTTCATTCTTCTTTTGTTTGCAGTTACATCTTCCATAAGATGAGTTCTTTCTTTCTCCAATTCCTGTTTGTTTGCATAAATATATTTTCTTTCTTAATTAACAACTATTGTTTGGCTATTCCTTAAAAAGTTAACCTAAAGGGCTGCCCTCAAACTCCTGTACTGTAGTTATATTTTACTGCAGAAAACACAGACATCAAAATAAGAGGAGGAAAGTTAATGAGGAGGGAAAGAATTGGTGGCAAACAACATGAAATTTGCTAAAAATATTACCAATATCCCCTTTACCAATTATTTCTTTCCTAAAGTCAAATCATTTGTAAGTGCCTTTTGGGGTTATATTTAAGCTTGTTTTGAAGGTAACATATATTTTAAAATATGTAGAAATATATTTGAAGACAAAACTATATGACTCATATTAAATACATTTATTTCTGCAGGTACATTTAAGTTGAAAAATATTCTTTGCCTGAAAAGGTCCTGTTCTCTCCAAGAGAAGTAAAGGTCTGTATCTTCCCTGGAGAGACTGGCTTCAGAAGAGTATTGTCCCTATTGGCTATTTCTTTGTCCTGGTAGTTTGGAGAGGGGGAGTCAGTGAGAGAGAAGGAGAAAAGATGGACTGGTGAGGGTTGGGGAAGGAGGAAATGGCCATAACACTGAGCAGACCAGAGGAAGCCGGAAGGCCACAGGTGGGGAACAACAGAAAAGATATGCTTCTGGCATCAAGTCATATTGCATATGAGAGTCAAATTGTTGTGGCAGAGACTCTAACTCTGAAGCTAATAAAAGAATCAAAAATGGAAAGGACAATGAACAAATAGTATTTAAAAATCTGGTCATGTCTTGGGGCCAGAGGTACACACATGAAAATTCTCTGTGACTAAAAAAACCGTGATGTTAAAATAAAGGTTGTGGTAACACAATTGCATTAAGGCAAACAGCAAAGAACGCTGGCCTCTGCTTTCTCCCCTAGCCAGGTAATTGCCATTGATTGAACAGTTGTAACGGGCAGGACCCTACCAGACCCCCAACTAACCCACATGGTCTGAGCACAATGAGTCAGGTCTGGGAACATTCCAGAAAAGGAAAATTCCCTCTTTAAGCAAAAGAAAATCTCAGAACTTACATCAATTCTTAATTCTTTGTAGCAACTCAAGCAAAACCAGCTCTTATTAGTTTTGTTTCCATCTGTTATTTGGTTATATTCAGAAGCTTCCTGAGTAGTTATTTTAAATCATTTATTCACTAGATGAGAATCTCAGAGTTGAAGTAATGTAGAAACTAGTACAAACAAGTAACATTTAAAGTCTACTATAAAATTTTTTTCCAAAAGCAGTTGCAATAAAAAAGAACACTCACACTATGGTTACACTAGGAAATACAGTGATAATAAAATTAAAGAGAAAAACTTCAATTATCTTTTTATTGCCATAATCCTAAATTTCACACACTAACATTATTGTTTTTGAGTTCCTGAAGGTGAGCTTTATAAAAATCCTCACCTGAAAGCAGGTAAGAGAAGAAACAGAGCAGTGGGAAGAGTGATGATTTTGAAATCAGGACATGTTTGAATCTAAATTCCCAGGACTTATTAACTACATGACCTTGGCCAAGTTATGTAACTCTACAGGCCTCAGTTTCTTGGTCTCCAAGATGGACACAAAAACAGCTCAGAGAGTGATTACAAGGATATCACTATTAAAGTGGCCAAAACATCAGCTGGCTCATGAAAGCTCCTAAGAGCATGTCTCTTCCCTTCTAGCCCCTCTCTTGATTCATTTGCAGCATGCATTTTCAGAAGGATTATACTATTCATTTAGAAATAAATAGTTTGAAAAATAAAATTATAAGTTGGCACCATAAATCTTACTTCATATTTCGCATATCATCATAAAAGCATAATGTAGCTGAAAGGGGATTTTAAGAAAGGAGAACTTTCTAATGTTGCACTTATAATGCTAAGGATATATGTGCTTCCTGTCTGCTGGAAACAAGAGTATGGGCTGCCAAACCAAAAACCACACCAAGTCTTTTTGAGTCTTCTCCTGCATACCAATTTTTCTTCTATTTTTTTTCCAATTCCATACCCCCTGTCCTCACTGGGGCATTAATTAATTATTCCTCGGCGACTGCTCTGACCATTCCTGGCCTCCTTGCCAGGCCTTTTCTCTGCCATCTCCTCTTTCCTGCTCCTAGTCATTCAGGGGTCCTCCCGTAGCTTTTTGGAAAGGGCCAAAATTCTCCACATAGTTTGCAAAACCTGTCATGACCTACATTTCCAATCTTGTCTCCACTTGCAAACTACGGAATTGGGAATAAAATCATGCCTCTGTATTGCTTTAAAAACCATTATTGATAAACACTATTATTAGTGATGCATAAAATAAGGGGCAAATTATTCAATTCCCGATTTTAAAAGTAGTAAGTAAAAGCTTGAACATTATTGAGATGGTGTAGTCAATTAAATATCATTGTTAACATTATTTAAGTAAATTTGTCAATTAAAGTAGTACTTATATTATGAAAGGCTTGAAATAAGGCTTGGAAGTACATTTCCCCCAAAGTCTGAAACTAATGAAATAATATTCTCTAAAGTAAATAATACATTTTAAGTAATATTTGGAACTATGAAAGCAAAGTATGTACTACATGGTATTTAAGTGGCCAAACACTTGGATAGGGCAATAGGTGTGGAAAAGAAAGGTATCTAAAATAGAACAAAAAATAAACTAACAAACAAAATAGAAACAGACTCAGATTAATGGAGAACAGACTGACAGCCATCAGAAGGGAGGGAGGTTGGGGAACTGGGTGAAAAAGGTGAAGGGATTAAGCAAAACAACTCACGGACCAGACGACAGTATCATGAATATCAGAGGGAAAGGGGGTGGAGGGAGGTAGAAGAGCATAGAGGCAAGATGAGCAGTGATGGGAGGAGGCTTGACTTAGGGTGTGACCACGCAATGCAGTATACAAATGATGTGTTATAGAACTGTACGCCTGAAACCTATGTGATTTTATTAACTATTGTTACCCCAAGAATTCAATAAAGAAAGAAAATAGTACAATTGCTGCTTGCTTTTCATTCAAGATTTGAAAATAGAAAACCTACTTTGGAGGTTTTAGGCATATTTTAACTTGTGTGACTAATTTAAACTTATTTCTATTGAATTATAACTTTAGTCCCACCAGGACATAAAAAGATAGCTCTTTTTCAATCAGAAGGGACAAAATTAATTAATTAAAATAATTTTGTCTGTAAGCATTTTCCCCACAAAACTGATTATCTCTTATATACACACATATATGCACACAAACATACACACACACACAGCAGTAAACATGTGTGCTCTGTATTCTAGATCCTAAGGCTACAATGAAAAATTTTTATATAAACTGTGAAAATGTGAAAAGTATCTCCAAAGTGAATAAGAAAGCACTGCAGTGATTCAGCGTAATTTCAGGAAATGTACTATTTATTCATTAAATGATCAAATATTAAGTGGCTCAACAAAAATGCAAATGAAAACCAAAATCCTTTGTGTACATAAATGACATCTGTAACCAAAGTTTTGAAATCAATGAAACAAAATAGATGATAGCCTTTCAGAACTTTCAATTCTAAGGTATCTATGAGGCTTTCATCCCAAAAGATTCTTTCTCTGTTGTACCTTACACTGGTAATTGAAATAGAAAAATTAAACAACAGAACTCAGAAACAGATTTTTTTTTTCTCTACCACCAGTGAGACAGTAAGGATGTCTGCTTACTGTCTTTATTAAATTAGTTCCTGTATCAGCTCCACCAGGTTCAGGTTCTTTTACCTCCAAAGGAAATAAATCATCTACCTGTCTGCTCATCCAGAATTCTAAACAATATTTACCCCTGAGGCTTTGTATTGTGTGACCAGTAAAAGTTGTTAATTGATATTAGTATTTTTCTCCTAATACTACCGAGCTCTCTTTGAGTTTATGACTTATTCTCTAGGATCAAGGTCAGAGTGAGCCTAAGAGACTGGGTTTTCTTTAAAAGAACGTGGCTAGAGGGCTAGTGGTTTGCTGCCTGCTTAAAATGGTCTCGATACATCACCTTCTGGTGACAACAGAAGGCTGTCTAAATCTACTCACAGGTACATCAATCAGGTCAACAATAGAATATGGCCTTGACGTGAACTTGAACAGCTCACACATTTTAAACAACTGCCTTAAAGCACACAGGAAAGTATAAAGTCGATTCAAAAGTCTACCTTCCTTGCATTCATATGCTCTGAGGGTTCCACTTGTTTCTGAGGCAGATAAACCTGTGAGAAACAAGCTGTACAGTTGAGCATTCATGAGACCAGATCCCATGTGAGAAGGCTCCTCAGTGCCTATGTTTTGGGGACACTGGGAAGCTGGTGAAGTGATTAAATCAAAAGAGAGTGGTCTTTCCCTTGCATCATAAGCTACTGTTCCAAGAGTCTACAGACCAGTGAAGGCACAACTCATCTTGACTGAAGACGTTCACCATTTGTTTCAGCACCATATTTAAGGGATTTTCTTGGATGCTTTGCAACATCAACTTCCTATCTGTGGGATCGTCCTAGCTTCCAAGTCCCCCCTTGGCTCTATAGCATTCTATAGTAATATTTTATATGTATATTTATAATCACCCAAAAGTGATCAGAGAGAGACTACATCATCAATGAAGTCAAAGGAACAACTTAAACCTAAAAAACACCCACTTTTTATGTCTGTGTCCTCGTGGCAGAGACACAGGCTTTTCTCCCTGGAGTCACTAGATTATTGGAAATGCCCTGAAAGCCCCAGAGGCCACGTGAGAGCCACCTGCCAGCACCCAGGCTGGGGAGCCTCGGTGATGGGAGTAGAGTCAGGAGGATGGCAGGAGGAACAGAAGCTGCAGAAGAAAAAGCTGCAGAACAGAGACTACTCAAACCCATCAAAAGTAAGTCTGGTGGCATGAGGCTTTATTTTAAAGAAAATAAAACACAACAGGTTTCATATTTTGCTATAATGTGGTTCAGGGTACGAGACCCTGTTATAAGGAATGAGTGGCACCTTACTTTTTGTAAGAGTCATTTACTGTGAGACTGGAATGGAGTCTGATAATGAGATGACAGTAAAGGAGTAATTTCTCAAGTCATTCCATTTTTCCAGGAAGTAAGAGAAAGCCAGGCCTGGGATCCAAAGTGGCTTTCCAAAGCCGTTCGAAGGCTTTTTTTCAAAGGAGATTAAAGTGCCCCTCGCTTCATCTTAAACCTCTGCTGCCACAATTATGGCTCAGTGCTGGTGCTGTTTTGTTTTGTTGTGACCATAATCTGTCAGGCTAAATTATTTTTTCCTAGAAGGGTCTATTCATCTCGGCTGAATAGAAAGAAAGCCAATGGCAAGGATATTATTCAAACTGCCATCAGAGACCCATATCTCCCTGAGGCCAGCACCACAGGTGAGAGCAGAGTCTAAGATAAGGGTACTGGATCCTTCACCGAAACAGGCCCGTACACTGCGGATCGAAACCCTCAGTCCTCCCCACTGTAAGGACACGGCAGTGCTAACCTCCCTCAGCCACCTCCACTGAGACTCCACAAATGGACAAGTACACATTCCAAGGGTGTTATCGCTTTGATAGCTAGTCTGTGGCAGGCATTGTAGCATCCACTCCTGCCAAAGTGGGGTCACCAAACATGAGGGTTTACCAAGTCATTTTAAAAGCTGTTAATGCCATTTTGACCTGTATGCGTCTATAAATTAAGAAATAAAAAGAAAAGATCCATAAAATAATGAAGAGGCAGGGCAGGAGGGAGAAAAAGATAAACATATGGAGGGGGCCAAGCATGAGACAATATACAAAGAAGGTAAAAATAACAGGAAGTACAGGCTCCAACAATTTTGCCAATTTAAGCTAAATAAATCTTCAGGTTGGAGTAGAAGGTGCCATAAAGTAAACTAAACTCCTCGTTGCTATTGAATCCAGAAGAAAATCAATAGCAACTTCAGAGTCCATCCAATTTCACCAAAGCACTCCTATTAAAACCTTTTACATTTCTCTGCTAACAACTCACATGTGCCTAGAGAAAGTGCTGACTCAGAACAACGAAGTTCCTAAATTACTAGTCATTTTTCATTGAGCATTAAGTTACCCTATAAAGTAGAAGTAAAAAGAAGATCTAGAGTTGTACTTATCGAGCATAATTAAGCCAGAAGCTTCCAGAAGGTACTCAGTGAAACTCTGGAGCCACAAACTTCTGTCTACTCACAACATCACAGAGCTCTCTTAGATAACAAATAAGAACAATGTTCGGTGTTATCTGACTACAACATTTTAATTTTATATTCAAAAAACATAACAATGAATCGAATGAAAGAAAAACCTAGACATGTACTAGAAAGCTAAAAGTCCATAGACAAATAGAATTTACAATAGGACAAACCCTTCAGAAAAATAAAGTAATACAAAACTAGAATGATGATGCTGAAAAAATATTCCCCCAGTTATATCATTTGTTTATATAAAATCAATTGATGATAAGTATGTGATTTATGAGATGCAGATGAAATATATTAAGTAGATAATTGCTCAGCAGTTATCTAAGGCACTTGAGAATTAATAATGAAAAATACTGAAGAATTAAACAGGGGGAATTCAATCCTATTTGAATTTATCATGTTCTTTCATTAATGAAAGAATCACAACATAATGCAGGAAGGGAGTGGCCATAGTTCACTCACCTGCTTCTCTGTGAGAATGACTCTACCAAGCAGCTGGTCTTCTAGACCTTTCATGGTGACGGTGAAGTCGATGATAGAGGTTCGAGCACTTATCTCAGGGGTATAGGCCGGGTTGGGCAGTTTGGTGGTAATGTAGAGTCTGAAGCCATCCATCACATCTACTTCCTTGTCACTGATTTTCACCTTTTTTATAAAAAAAAAAGTTAAAAGTAATAAAACAGAGATGCACTTTACTGTATCTTTTGTATAGAATTAGTGTTGCTTTAAATAATTACATACTTGGAGATAGTTTATACTAAAAATGAAATGGTCCTCAGGCATTCATAGTGCTTCAAGCCACTAGGGCAGAAGAAAGGAGGAAGGAAAGGAGGGAAGGAGGGAGAAGGAAAGAAGGATGGGAGGAAGGAAGGAAGGAAGGAAGGAAGGGAGGGAGGAAAGGAGGGAGGGAAGGAGGAAGGAAAGAAAGAAGGAAGTTCAATATATACCATGTAATAAATACAGAATGGACCACCAAAACTGTGGTGACCATACTGCAGAAGTGAGATGAATTCCCCACCTGAAATTTGACTCAGAAGTCTAGATTGATGATGTCACATATGTGCTAAAAGAATATGAACAGGTACACTACTCACATGAGATTTTCTGGGGAGATTAGGATAGATACCCACACAGGTCCAAAAAAATCTCCTGAGAGGGTCAGGAGGGGCAGCGGGCTCAGGGCTCTGTGGCAGCTGGTGTATGGGGCTGGAATGAGAGCTCCAAAGCACGGGCACGGGCAGGGCGCTGCGTGGTTTGAATTTCTCACCCACGCTAACGCAGAGAAAGAGTCCACAGAGTTTCTTAACAGTCCACCCAGATTTGGGATAGAAGGGGAGAGGGGCATCATGACCCTCTCCCCTTCTATCCCGTAGTCAAACAGCAAAATGGAGTCAGATTTTATTACATATGTGAAGTAGATATTCCTAAAGGGACCACTCTTGAATACTTTCATTTGAACTTAGGAAGTGTAAAAAGCAAAGCAAATGCCTCTGGTCACTGACTGGAATTTGAGTTACTGCCCATGGAGAAAATTTCATCTATGTCACATTTACCTGATCTCAAGGTCATTGTTCTGCACAGTTTATCAAAAGGGTTATACCCTACCTTAAAGGTAGACCCAGTCTTAATGAAGTTTCTCTCCAAAACGTTTTCTAGTGCTGGATCTAGTTCCTCCCCAACATCTTCGATCAGCAAGGGCCTTCCAAGAGAAAGGCTGTCCTCCAGGTGGTTTCTGAAGTACTTGTGATTTAGAGATGTGACCTAGAAACCAGGTCAAAATATGTTGTCCTTGACAGATGGTATCATGATGCAATGCACAGAGAAAACTCATAGGAAGTTATACCTAAGCCTTCTATCACAGGAGACAAATACAGAGAATTCAGAGTTCCTTCCATGAAATCATACTGGTGAAGCAGTACAGAAAGCTTAAATGGTTTCCATTCTTTTTCTTAGCAAACCATCATTCCCCTTTACTGGGAACCATGAAATGGCTCCATGTGACAGTGCTGCCTTTCTGTCACCACCACTTAATCATGGAATAATTATGAAGTGTCCTTATAAAGTCCTATCACTTACTGTCATACAACTCCACCCTGCTCTTTTTATTAAACAGAGCCATAGCCCCTAACAGAAGAGAATCTGAAAACTTTGAAAGGTGGCATCAGTAGAAATCAACACAGATGCAAATAATGCAATTTTTAGAAATTATTTATAAATATCAATATCGTATTTTGTAATGTACATAAATGTTGGATCATTATGTTGTACTCTTGAAACTAATATAATACTGTAGATCAATTATAATTGTAAATTAATAAAATAAACCAAAATAAAGAGAAAACAGCTCTGTTAGATATAATTATTTCTAAATATCAAATATTTCTTTGTTCTTGGATACTTGTTGATTTGGGGCAATAAAAGTTGGCTAGTAACATAAATATACTCAAACACAAATTACCTGGAGTTCATTTTGGCTTTCTTTATTTTTAATCCAGATCTTGCCTTGAGTCTGTGGATCAATTAACAAAGGATAACGAGATGCCTTTGTGACAATAATTCCATTCTGAATGGATAGGTCGTCATTTGGCAGGCCTTGGAGATTCCATTCGCTAATGGTAGGAGCATCAATCAGCATCTCGTTGAGATTTAGATTGTCTGCAAATGGAATTTCCCGGGCTTTCATTTCCTTCTGCCAGTCATTTAACAGCAGATTGCGAAATTCTTGGTTAAATGGACCAGAGTAAGACAGAAAAGCCGTGGCCAACAAAACATCCCCTATAATGGAAAACAAAACACCACTGAAATACTTTACAATCAGCCTTGTAATTTTGTAGAATATTAAAAATGAAAAAAAATTATTTTAAACTAAATTTCAGACACCAAATTGTAACACATGTTGCTGTGTCTTGATGAATAAGCAGTAGTTTGGTTCATTGTCAAACAGGGTCCAAATGGTCTACCAAGGATTGGCTGCACAGAGTTATTTTGACTTCTCAGATTAAGATACAAAGCTTAGAAGACAGAGACTCCCTTCAAAGTGACCTTGGTCAGTGTCACCATTCACTCATAGGAGAATTCAACAGTGTCCTGATAATAAGAGGTTTAAAGATCATTAACATATCTAATAAGGATCGCATAAATGTCAGACTAATATTCATTTTTCTGAAACACTGGAGACATACACACACACACAATTTTAAAGTAATCAAGTGTTGATTTGTATTCTGATTAAAGCTTAAATCTGCTAACTCCCCATCATGGGCAACATCTAATATAATTAATAAAGAAATTTACTTACCAACAAGTCTTTTTGTTTGTGCTGCAAACTCTTGACTTTGCTCTGTCCATCTTTCTTTTTCTCCTGCCAAGCCACCGATCAGCGCGGAGGCCGTCTGCATTTTATGCCTGCACCTCTCGGCATCTTCAAGCAAGGTCTAAGAAAGGTCAAAACCAACAGAAAACTTTTGTTCAGATAAATACAGCCTCTGGCTCAAAAACGCAATTTAAAACATTGTATATTATCTGCCCCTCGGAGATATGTGAGCCATTCATTTCTTAGGAAGCATAAGATTCAGTTCCCATGTGCCTGTGTCTGCCCAAGCCTGTCTCTAAGGAACTTGGATGGATTCCTCATGCAGGGCCCTGAGCCAATTGGTCAGACCCTCCCCAGATGTTAACAACTGAGAGACCATGTAAATTTGCATTATTTATGATTCCTCTATATATAAAAGTAGAAATAAAATGCAAACATACATGCTAACTCATAAAGCACAGAAGACTTTAAAAAATACATATCCCTATTTAAAAATGAGAACAATTTCTCATGTGAAAGTTCTAGCACCATTATTGCTTTATCTAACACCACATCTTCTTTCACTACAGGTGAAACTTTAGATTGTCTTCGGATTGCGGTGTCCTGAAGCCCATTCACAAAGTTCAGCCACACTCAACTCAGCAGGTCCTTCCCTGCGGTTCCTTGTGTCAAAGACCTTTAACCAGATTTCTACATACTGTTGCCACTGGTTGCTTGGTTATTAAAAACAAATGGTTCTGACTCTATGTTTAAAAGACAACTGTTAATTTTACTTGAAAAAATTTATATTTATGGCCCTGGCTGGTGCAGCTCAGTGGATTGAGCACAGGCCTGCGAACCCAAGGGTCACTGGTTCAATTCCCAGATAGGGCTCATGCCCTGGGTTGCCGACCAGGTCTCCAGTAGAGGGTGCATGAGAGGCAACCACATATTGATATTTCTCTCCCTCTCTTTCTCCCTCCCTCCTTCCCCCTCTGTCTAAAAATAAATAAATAAAATCTTTTCAAAAAATTTATATTTACGAAATAATAATAAATACGGATAAAGATTTAGTGGTATAACCAGTCCCTGGAAGTTCATCTATAATATTTATATGTATTCATAATATTTCTCTATATATTTAGCATATAGAGTTAACTCTCAAACAACATGAGGATTAGAGGTACCAACTCCCTAAACAGTTAAACATTCACAATAACTTTTGATTCCTCAAAACTTAACTACTAACAACCTATTGTTGACCAAAAGCCTTAATGATAACATAAACGTTCAACACATATTTTTATGTTACATGATTTATATACTATATTTTTACAATAAAGATAGAGAAAATAAAATGTTAAGAAAATCATTAGGAAGAGAAAATGCATTTACAGTACTATATGTATTTATCAGTATTTTTTTTTAATTCACATATAAGTGGACCCACATAGTTCAAACCCATGGTGTTCAAGGGTCAACTGTATATGCTAAGTGTTTAACAATAGAGAATTATTTAAATACACTATGGCATGTTTTGAATAAAAGCTGGGCAATAATACTTATATCTAACAAAATAGACTTTAAAACCAAGGCTATAGTAAGAGCCAAAGAAGGACACTACATTGTAATAAAGAGAACATTCCAACAAGAGGATATAACCCTAGTAAACATTTACATACCCAATATAGGAGTAACTAAATGTGTAAAACAAATCTTGATGGACATGAAGGGAGAGACTGACAGAAATACAGCCATAGTCGGGGACTTTTACACCCCATTGATATCAATGGATAGATCTTCTAGGCAGAAAATCAACAAGGAGACACTGGCCTTGAGTGGAACACTAGATCAAATGGATTTAATTGATATCTTCAGAGCTTTTCACCCCAAAGCAGCAGAATATACATACTTCTCAAGTGCACATGGAACATTTTCTAGGCTAGACCACATGTTAGGACACAAAACAAGTCTCAATAATTCTATGAAACTAGAAATCAATCACAAGAACACTGAAAAACATGCAAAGACATGGAAGCTAAATAACACATTATAAAAGATGAATGGGTCAACAAAAAGATCAAGGAAGAAATCAAGAGATACCCTGAAACAAATGAAAATGAGCACACAACAATCCAAAATCTGTGAGACATGGGAAAGCAATCCTAAGAGAGAAATTCAAAGCATTATAGGCCTATCTCAAAAAAAAAAAGAAAGAAAGAAAGAAAGAAAACCAAGAAAAAGCTCAGATAAACAATCTAACTTTACATATAAGGAAATTTGAAAAAGAACAACAAACAAAGCCCAAAGTTAGCAATATGAAAGAAATAAAAAAGATCAAAGCAGAAATAAACAAAATAGAGTCTAAAAAATTATACAAATGGTCAATGAATCCAAAAACTGATTCTTTGAAAAGATAAACAAGACTGACAAAACTTTAACCAGACTCATCAAGATAAAAAGAGAGGGAACCCAAATAAATAAAATCAGAAATCAAAGAGGAGAAATAACTACTGACACCAAAGAATTACAAAGGATGTAAAGAAATATTATGAGCAACTATATAGCAACAAACTGGACAACCTGGATGAAATGGATAAATTCCCAGAAACATACAATCTTTCCAAAATAAATCAAGTAGAATCAGAGAATCTGAATAGACAGATTACACCTAGTGAAACTGAAGTATTAATTAAAAAATTCCCAAAAAACAAAAGCCCTGGACTGGATGGCTTCATGGGTGAATTTTAACAAACATTCTGAGAACAACTAACACCTCTCCTTCTCAAACTATTTCATAAGATTCAAGAGGAGGGAACGCTCCCAAACTCACTTTACAAGGCCAGCATTATCCTAATTCCAAAACCAGATAAAGACACTACAAAGAAAGAAAATTATAGGCCAATATCCCTGATGAACATATGAATGCTAAAATCCTCAACAAAATATTAGAAAACCAAATACAGCAACGCATCAAAAAGATAATACAACATGATCAAGTGGGATATATTCTGGGAATGCAAGGTTGGTACTTTTGCAAATTAATAAATGTGATATACCACATAAATAAAGTGAAGGATAAAAAAACATATGATCATATCAATAGGTACAGAAAAGGCTTCTAGTAAAATCCAGCACCCATTTATGATTAAAAAAAAAAACTCTCAGCAAAGTGAGATTAGCAGGAAAATACCTAAGCATAATAAAGGCCATATATGACAAATCCACTGCCAGCATCATACTCAACAGGCAAAAAATATAAGTATTCACCTTAAGATCAGGAACAAGACAAGGATGTCCACTTTCACCTCTCTTATCAACATAGTAATGGAAGTCCTAGCCACAGCAATCAGACAAGAAGAAGAAATAAAAGTCATCCAAATTGGAAAGGAAGAAGTAAAATTGTCATTATTTGCAGATGACATGATACTGTAGAGAATCCCAAAGATTCCACCAAGAAACTACTAGAACTGATCAATGAATTCAGCAAAGTAGCAGGATACAAAATTAATATCTTAGAAATCAGATGCATTTTTATAGGTCAATAATGAACTAAAATAAAGGAAAATTAAGAAAACAACCTCATTCACAATTGCTACAAAAAGAATAAAATACCTAGGAATAAACCTAACCAAGGATGTAAAAGACCTGTACTTGGAAAATTATAAGACACTGGAGAAAGAAATAGAAGATACAAATAAGTCAAAGCACATACCATGTGCATGGATGGGAAGAATTAACATCATTAAAATGTCCATACTACCTAAAGCAATCTAAAGATTCAACACAATTCCTATCAAAAGTCCAATGATGTATTTCACAGAGCTAGGACAAATATTTCCAAAATTTATATGGAACCATAAAAGGCCCCACATAGAACAGCAATCCTGAAAAGGAAGAAGGAAGTTGGAGGAATCACACTACCTAATATCAAACCATACTATAAGGCCATAGTAATCAAAACAACCTGGTACTGGCATAAAAACAGACACATAGATCAATGGAACAGAATATAGAGTCCAGAAATAAATGCACACCTTTATAGTTAATATTCAGCAGAGGAAGCAAGCACATACAATGGGCTAAAGATAGTTAATTCAATAAATGGTTTGCTGGGGAAATCTGACAGATACATGCATAAAAATGAAATTAGACCACCTTCTTACACTACACACAAGAAAAAATTCAAAATGGATCAAAGACTTAAATGTTATACCTGAAACCATAAAAATCATAGAGGAAAACACAAGCAGCAAAATCTCGGACACTGCTCATAGCAATATTCTATCAGATATATCTCCCCAAGCAAGGGAAACAGAAGAAAAAAATGGAATTAGATCAGCTAAAAAGTTTCTGCACAGCAAAGGGAATTGTCAACAAAATAAAAAGACAACCCACAGAATGGGAGAACAGATTACCAATACATCTGATAAGGGGTTAATATACAAAACTTATAAAATGTTTAAAAAACTCAACACCAACAAAACAAACAACCCAATTAAAAAATGGGCAAAGGACCTAAATAGACACTTCTTCAAAGAGGACATACAGATTGCCAATAGACATACGAAAAGATGTTTAACGTCCCTAATCATCAGAAAAATGCAAATAAAAACCACAGTGAGATAGCATCTCACACCTGTCAGAATGGCTATTATCAATAAATCAACAAACAAGTGCTGGTGAGGATGTAGAGAAAGGGGAATCCTATTGCATTGTTGGAGGGAATGCAAATTGCTGCAGCCACTGTGGAAAGCAGTATGGAGATATCTTAAAAAGTTGAAAATGAATCCGCCTTCGACCCAATGATCCCACTTCTGGGAATGTATCCGAAGGAACCCAAAACACTAATTTAAAAGGACATAAGCACCTCTATGTTCATTGCAGCATTGTTTACAATCACCAAGATATGGAAGCAGCCCAAGTGTCTATCAGTAGATGAGTGGATAAAACAACTATGTGACATTTACACAATGGAATACTACTCAGCTGTAAAAAAGAAAATTTTACCTTTTGCAACAGTATGGATGCAGCTAGAGAACATTATGCTAAGGAAATAAGCCAGTCAGAGAAAGACAAATACTGTATGATTTCACTCATAAGTGGAATCTAATGAACAAACTGAACTAACAAGGAAAATGGGGGCAGACGCTTAAATGGAGAGCAGGATGACAGCTAGAGGGGTGGGGGAGCTTAGGCAGTAAAGAGATTATGCAAAAAGGAAAAAAGAGTCATGGACATGGACAACACTGTGGTGACTGTTGTGGCGAGGGGCAGGGTGTATAAGGGGACTAAACGATAATGGGAAAAAGGCAATAAAGATTAAATTTTTAAAATTTTTTGAGAAAAAAAATAAAAATTTGTAATCATGATATATCACTAAGTTAAAAATTCAATTTATAAAGCAGTATGTACTGAATTATGTTATAGTTTTAAATGGATTTTAAAAATATGTAATTAGAGGCACATGTTCAAATAAGAAACGATAAAGAGCGAAGTATTTCTAGTGGTCCTCTCCATGGTTACCTGTGTGTATTTTCTGTAAGGAACATGAATTGCTTTTGTAGTAATAACACAATCCAGTGCTTTACAAAAGCATGCTATTTATTCAGCCTGCCTAAAAGATTGTTTCAAAGATTAGATAAGATAAAGTAGGAGAGCATGATTTAAAAAACGGAAGAAAAATATGTTACACATGATTCTGTTATCATCAACACTTATAAGGAAACTCAGAATGTTCATGCTCCAGAACTAACTCCTATTCCGGCTGAACATCCTGATGTCTCACCAATGGTCCTTCGTGTCTGTTAGAAAAAATTCCAGGACTTAGTAAAGGATAGTGTGCTTTGTGTGTGTTTGTATAAATTTGATGAAGCCTTGCTGTAAACCAAACCTTTGGAGAGAGAAAGTAAAAAAGGAATGAAGGGCTTGCATAGCTATGTAAAAGGGTGACAGTCCCTCCCAGGAGATAGGACAGTTACCTGCTTCTCAGACATGGCCTGTTCATACTCAGCCTGCACCACATCAAGCTCTGCCTGCTTGTCGTCCAGCTCCGCCTGCGCCTTCTGCAGATCCTGCATGGCCAAGGCGTGGCGATTCTCCTGCACCACCAGGTTGGCCTGCACAGGACACACAGGAGGTGGGGACAGCCATCAAACCACACATGCAGCACTTCTGAGTCTGAGAACACTCCGCTCTGTCTCCTGGTTATACCTTTTCTTTGTTCCATCCTTAGAGTCTTTTCAAATCACATTAAGTCAAGATCAAATCTTCATTTGAACTTGACATAAATGTTTACAAGCAGAAAATTAGATTCCATTAGAATAGGAGTCAGTAATTTTTTTCCATATTTTAGGTTTTGGGGGAATGAAAGGTAAAATCAAGGCTTTGTTCGGTCACTTAAAATTGTAAGAATTTTCTTATTTCATGGGCCATACGAATATGGGTAGTGGGTTAGATCTGGCCTGTGGGCCATAGTTTGCCAATTCCTACATCAGATCATTGCAGTATTAAATGTAATAAGTAAATTAAAGAACATTGTAGTATTAAGAGTTGCAGGGGGAAAAAAGTTTTCTATTTGAAACCACCTGTCTAGAAGGACTAATCACTATTGATGAGGATGTTAAAATCAGACCAAGGATGGAACATAACTGGTCACTGAATACAAAGTTCTAGGTGTTGTGGGTAGTGGTGGTCTTGATGTTGTTCCTGTAATTTTCACACATTGCTTGCATTCCAAAAAAGAATTGATACCTTGAGCCATGACCAAGTAAAAATATCTATTTTAAGGAAGCTACCAAGTTAGACTCAATGGACATAATCAAAAGAAATATTAGCAAAAGATGAGGTAGAAAAATAGTTCATGTTTACAGGAATTTAGGTTCTTTTCAGAATTTTTCTGAAATCAAATTTCTCATTTTAAAAATCTTTAAAATTGACCTTAGTGGAGAGATCCACTTATGAAAGCCATCTTCTTTGTGAAGTGTTTAGGAAGAAAAGATTATTTTAAAAATATTTTTTGCAATAAATTATTTTCCCATTTGAAAATCTCAAGCCCCTAAATTTTGCCAGAAAATCTCTTTAAAGGAAAAGTCCGAGTTTTATAACTGACTGGCACCAAGGACAGGCAACAGTATGAGTTAAAAATTATGGTTTAAAATAAAACTGACTCTTGGGATATATCTTTTCTCCGTTCTGCTCTACACTGCACCTGTTGCCAAGCCTTTAATGTGGAAGAAAAGCAAGGTCAGTGTGTCAACTCACTAAGTTACCCAATAATGACAAACAACCACAAAGATTTTGTATATTTTCTAAGAATTCACTTAATTTTTTTTAAATGAAGCTCTCAAAAGTTGCTAACTAAAATATATAGAGCCTATCAAATCCAACTGCTCACAACAAGAGTTGCTGGACTCTATTCAGGTTACTTAAACTCTGAGAGCCTTGGTGTCTCCACTGAGATATTGAAAAACTACCATTAAGGTTTCGTGTGTGTGTCCGTGCGTGTGTGTGTGTGTGTGTGTGTGTGTGTGTGTGTGTGTGAAGATTAAATAAGATAACATATGTAAAAACCCAAGTCTGGGACCTGGCATACAAGTTCAGTAACTAATAGATATTGTTACTGTTATTGTTTGTGTTCAATGTTTAAGGCTTTGCTGTTGTAATGTTTTGCTTGTATGAACTGATATTTACTGGTTTCCATAGAGTTTTCAAGGAGAGACCTCATTATAATGAACATGAGTAGAATCTAAATTGCTATTGTTATAATTAATATTTAAGTTTATTCACTACTAGAAGTCAGTTGGCCCGTTTATAGGGGTTGTGAGATATAAGAGAATGGCCCCTATGTGTCTCCATTACTAATTAGCGTTAAAGAGGTTGCAACAGGAGTTTAATGAGTGTCTTTAATCTGTCCTCACTTAGGAAGCAGGAGTTTGTTGGTGAAGCTGCTCCAGGAATAAGAGAGGTTAGAGACCTCCATCTCTATTTCTTAACATATTAAGCAAAGTTGCCCAATGGTAACCTGTATTCCCTTCATCTTCTACTTCTCCCTACAGAGTGAGTGCATAGGGTCCATGTGACTGTGTTTGTTTTTCTAACTGCAATTATGAGAGACCTGACAATATGAATGTTCTCAAATGCTGGATGCTCCTAAGAATATAGGAGGGCACTCCCAGAACAGACTTCTCAGGAAAAGAAGTACAGGTTCTGGGAGCAAGTGAAAGGTTCCCACTTCTGATATAATTCCCTTCACTTCCTTCTTAGGGTCTAGATTTTCCTGGGATGGGGTAGAGGCTGAAATGCACTGAACATAAGGAAGGAGACTCTGCTGGTCTTATATAAGCCTTTTCCAGAATGCCACTATTTCATACTGAATTCAGCTCACTTTATTTAAAATAACTACAACAAAATAAAAACTACCCATGATGAATTCAGCTGTAATTTCCTTAAAGACAATATGTATGCTGGAAAAATTATCAAGGATACCCTGTACTTCTCATTTGAGATAGTGGTTATAATTCAGTCATTATCAGAATGTTGTTTTTTGAACCATGCTGGAGCCTTCAAAGGCTACCAAATTCATAATGTCAGGCAGCATTACATCAATTATTTGCCCTAACAGTCTCTGAGCCAAATGAGGTTGCCCTGGGACCACAAATGAATAAATGGTCCCAGTATAATAATAATTAGAAAACAAAACCAGACTTGCAACTCTATCCCTGTCTTTTTCTACTCTTGATTATTTCTATCATGATTATTAAGTTCCTTGGGTAGTTTATATGCATAAGTGGCTTATAGTTGATGATTGAAAGAGATCAGACTCACACAAAAGAAAAATAATCAACCAAGCCATGAGGTATAATTTTGGGGACATCAGTATCCCATTTTCAAAACATGTACTTGCTTCTGTATCTGCTGAAGACTGTGTGTCATTGAATGGTGGGGACTGCGCACAAATGAAGCGTGAGAATGCAATTACACAAAGAGAAACATGGGCATATTCTCAAGTCACATTAAATCATGAAGATATAATATTCAGTGTCTTTCCTAAGAGATAAAGGAGAGGGAATACTGTCATGCCCTGCAACCAAGACCAGCCACCAGCATCTATATGTCAACCCTGCTTATTCCATAGGATTTCATGGCACAAGATCTTGGACATCATCAGATGATTCTATGCTACAGTTTTCTATGTTTCTGTTTTAAAGTTGACAATGTGTTGGAAACTACCCAGCCCCCCACATAGGCTTGATACCCTTGCAGAGGGTCCAGGCTTAAGGCTCACACCACTCTGATTGGAGTAGGAGTACTGAGATGGAAGAAACATCTGTGTACAGCCTTTCTGTTACTTGTTGTCCCCATCGACTTGAGTACAATAATACCAAAGGCTGAAAACTCCTGTACTGTGTGAAAAGACAAAACCAGTTGACCTAGAGACCCCTTTCAGGTGCACGTCATGCAGTTCTACCGAGGAGGCTTACCTTCAGGGGCAGCACCTCTCTGTTTATAGAAAAGAAGGAAGCCATGGCTTTGGTCCAGGAACAAAGACCTGCTACATTCCCACATACACGTTTAGCAGTTTCGATGTTGTAGTCTGTCATTTCAAAGTAAGGACTCAAAAATTCTATCACTTCTTCATTGATTGTGTCTTTTGGGAATTGCTATGGAAAAAGGAGTATAATTAAGTCCAAATTCTTCTTCTTATGAAGTCATATTCACATTATGCTCATAATGCTACTGAGCACAGATGGAAAATGCTGAATGACATCATATTTTATGAACATTTCAGGACATCAGACAAAAGCCCTAAAGGTGAAAGGAGAGTACACAATGATGGCAAAGAAGTCAGAATACACTTCCTCTCCTGTGGACAAGATATACCAGCCCTAAATAAATGTTCTGTGATCCAAGGATAGAGGAAATTATTTCAGTGATGAACTCTATTACAGTTATTAGAATTTCCAATGCAATAAAATGTTCATGTCATCAATCCTAAATAGGTGAATTACAAGCCCATAAAATCAACAATGGAAAACAAACATACAGAGAGATGTTTAGCCTAAGGACATACATATTTAGCATATAGTGGCAACTGAATCCTTAATACATTCAGAGAGAGGTTTTATTAAACTCACCTGAGATGTGAAGAAAATAACTTAGACATTAGGCCTTGAGAGTGATGAATTAATTTTTAATCATGAAACTATCAAGAATATGGGAGAACTGTTATCTTCTAAAGGAATAAAATTTTTTTACATAGTAGCAGAAATGGGTAAAGAATGTCTTCTTGCATCAAGAGAAAATACTGAACAAACAATGAAATTGGACCTTTAAAAGTGGTGTTTGCTCATCTAAAAGAGGATGGTTAAATGTTTTCCAAGTAGAAAAAAAATTAGCACCTAAATAATTCAGTGAAACAAGCCTTCACAGAAGATATATAATGTAGGGTAGAAGACAGTCTCATTCAAACCTGTTTTAACACACGTTTCTTTAATGAGGTTTGAAAGAAAAATCAGAAGACTATTCAGGAGCAATTTAAGGGTGTTGGTGACAAAAGGCAAATCGCAACGGAGCTTCCAGGATATATATCTGTTCTGCCACCAGATATATAAGGCAGCATCCCAGAATCACTTGCCAGGATCCAAGCCCATTGTCACATTTATCTGTGAAAATGTCCCTGCCACCATTACCATTCCAACACACCCAATCAGAGTTCATCACCAAGTATTTCCCACTCAGCATGTTATCCCTTCACAGTCGCACTTATATCACAAAGTCTCATATTTTAATCACCCAGGACAAGTCAGTGCGGCCCACTAGTTTCATAAGCTACTTCTTGTTATAGCTGCTATAAGATGATCTAGCTGCAGCAGCCACTGTGCAATGTCGAATTGAAAACAGAATGAAAGATAGTGCTAAAGTTATGACTTGGGAAATGGATGTGGGTTGGGTATTCCCAATTATACTTCTCAGGATCTAAATGTGAACAATAAAACAATAAAACTCCCAGAAGAAAACATAGAAGCATTCATTTTTGCCTTAGAGGTGGACAAAGATTTCCTAAAGAGAGCGCAGAGAGCACTTAAGGAAAATATTGAAAAATTGGACTACATTAAACTTAAGCATCTGCTTATCAAAAGACACCATTAATGCAATGAACAACTAAGGCAGAAAGTGGGAGAAGATATTTCCACACATATAAATGATGAATTACTCATATTTTATATATAAAGAAATTCAACAAAGTAATAAAAACTTGAACTACCGACCTGTAAGTTCTGTAAAAAGTTCCCTGCAGTCATCAGTTTTAAAGACTCCTGCCAGGAAGGAATTGTACAGCTTCTTTCCAGGTCAATTTTCACTGCATTGACTTTCCTGTGAAACAGCAGCAGCACACAGTCCATGATCCTCATGATGAGGTGAGGGGGTCGGCCCAGCGTGCGGACGGTGGCGATGTCCGAAGGCTTGATGGTCTGGGGGAGGAAGGGAGGTTATCCCCCAATCTCAGATGAGAGAGTGCAGACAAATCTTTCATCTCTAAATGCTACGACTTTGACAAAGGAAAATGAGTATTTTTAAGTTAAATGCAGTCATGGGGTCTAGGTGCATATCTAATCCCACATCCCCAAAAGTTCAAATGTTTATAATTCAAACTGACAACGAGGAAAGAAACATTGCCAAGCAGAGAAGGAGCTGTGACTTCCCTAAAACTGTACAGACCATTTAGTGTCAGAAAACAGAAGAGTGTAATCTGAAAGAAAAAAGAGTAGTCAGCACTTAGGTAGATACCAAGGATTCTCAACCAGGAAAACTCCAGTATTTGCAGTGCTTTTTGACTCATTAGTTATGTAGGTCAAGAACCTGCCTCTCTGTCTTAAGCAACTTTGACTTGTCACAGTGGACTGACACGAGTGGGTAGCCCCAGGGCTGACAGATTGAATAATTAGAGGTTTCTTAGCTGGAAACTGACCTTTAAATGACATAACTTGGACAATAAGAATTTCACTAAGTTGTTAGAAAAGTTCTGTTCCATTTCCAATATGGAGATTCTTACAGTGTAAATTATTGAATAATCCCATAGAACCACTGTGGTTGATAGTAACTGTTTTATGATGATAATAACTGTCTTAAACTCTTTATGGAATAAGTATTGGGAAAATATCAGATATAATAACCTGACATAGTCTCCTTTCTGGGACAAACAGAGTATACCCATTCCTTTCAGGTCTTGAAAACTTTCCATCTTATTCGCCTCTGAATCCCTCCTGCCGAAAGAAGATACCCAATGTCCTCCTCATCAAAGCTAACAATGATCTTTTCTCCAAGGACTGAGAAAGAAAAGAAGAAAATCAGGGAACTTCATAATTAGAAATGGAACTATATATTTTGAAAAGGTTTGTTTCAACAGACTAGTATTTGTGAAGTACAGAAGAATTTGTGTTTAAAACAGAAGAAGCTAGAGATGACAAACCTTTATTTGAGAAGTATGGCTATAAAAGAAAGGAAAAAATATAATAGCAGCCAATGGGGAAAGTGGGGTCAAACTGAAGTTATATAAGGTATAAAAGCTGAATATGCTTATTTTACTTTAGCTTTAGAAAGAGGAATGTCCCAACAAGATTGAGCTCATTATTTTAAGTAACCCAGGTAAAAGGAGTTGGAGAGAAGGTTCCATGTGAAGTTCAGACTATTTCAGCTAAGCATTGAAACCCTCTTTTCTCAGAAGGCAAAGCAATATGACCATTATATAATTTCCTGTACATCACTACAATAGTTATTTAACATCTGGAGGCATTTTGTATATTTACGTCGAGTCAGATTACCATTGAGTTAGGAAGAGACACATTCTTTGCTGTTACCTTATTTGTTGTATCAATTTATGTAACCTGATGCCACAATGTTAGAGTTTGTATGTGCCTGGAATTTTCTTTGTACACACTGATGGTACCATATATCAAGATTTTAAAACTCCCAAACAGGCAATAAGATGGAGGCACAACCAATAAAAGAAATTATTAAAGCCCTCTTGCACATGTCCCATCATCTTAGCCCTGTACTCACATATTCCTGCTCTGACAATTACATAATGCAGAATATTTGAGTGATAAAGAGCACCAAAGCAGAAGGACCCTGGAAAATGCTTTATAATATTAAAAGAGATGCTAAGCCTTTTAAGTCTTAGGAAAATGCAGATATTTAAGCAAGACCTGAGATGCCATATGCTCTATTCTTAGGATGCCATTAGGTATCATGTGTTCAATAAAGGTTTAGAAGTTTCTTTATACTGTCATTGTCTTTTTTCTGTTGATCAGACACTTTCAGAGAAGCCAACCTGCCAAATAAAAGTTGGGGCGGGGGGATAAAGATTGGAATCTCAAAGAGATATCAGTGTCCCCATGTTCACCGCAGCATTATTCACAATACCCAAGATAGAGAAGCAACCTGAATGTCCACCAATGAATAAATGGATAAAGAAAATGTTTTGTACATATATAAATTTCAGCCTTAAAAAGAAGAGAAATAAATCCTTCCATTTATCACATGGACCTAGAGGACTTTATGGTAAGTCAAATAAGCTAAACACAGGAAGACAAATACTGCATGATCTCATTTATACGTAGAATCTAAAATAGTCAGACTCACAGAAGCAGAGAGTAAAATGGCAGTTGCCAGGGGCTGGGGAGAGGAGCAAGGAAGAGGTGGTGGCCAAAGGGTACAAAGTTTCAGTCATGCAAGATAAATAAATTCTGGAGATCTATACAGCATAATGCCTATTGTTAACAATACCGTGTTTTGTACTTAAAATTTGTTAAGAGGGTAGATCTTATCACAAAAATTAATAATAATATTAAAGGGAGCAGGAGGAAATTTTGGAAGGTAATAGATATTTCTACAGCCTGTGGTGTTGATGGTTTCATAGGTATATACTGGTCCCCAAACTCATCAAGTTGTACACATTCAATATGCGCAGCTTTTTTCATGTCAATCATACCTCAATAAGTTTTTCTTAAGTAGGAAAGATGAGGTGCCCACCAATCTGACAGACTGAAGACCCTGGAGCACTTCGAGGTCTAAGGAAAACAGGTTAGTCAGTGCACGGAGGAACGGTGAAACGACAGGGAAGACATGTCACATGTAAGTGCAGTTTGAAAAGGTGGAGAGAGAAAAAAAGAAGGCAAGATCTAATTCACGTATTGTGTATTGACTCAGAAAGCTTAAAGGCCACATGCATCGAACAGATTCAAAGACGTTTCAGGAAGTAAGCTAAAGAAGCATTAAAAAATAATAATTACAGTATCAAATAAATGCATGATCTACCGATGTTATGTAATTTGAATCAGCAGTGGATAGATCAACAGAGTTCCCCCTCTGGCAGCTTTTATCCTGGAATCAATTACATAAGGCAGCTGATGAATAAGGCTGAAGTAAATTTGAAAGGATGCTCAGCATCACTAGCCATCAGAGAAATGCAGATCAAAACCACCATGAGGTACCACCTCACACCGGTCAGAATGGCCATCATAAACAGATCCACAAACAACAGGTGCTGGCGAGGCTGTGGAGAAAAGGGAACCCTAGTACACTGTTAGTGGGAATGCAGACTGGTACAGCCACTGTGGAAAGCAGGGTGCAATTTCCTCAAAAAGCTGAAAATGGAACTGCCTTTTGATCCAGTGATTCCCCTGCTGGGACTATACCCTAAGAACACCAAAACGCCAATACAGAAGAACCTATGCACCCCAATGTTCATAGCAGCACAATTTACAATAGCCAAGTGTTGGAAGCAACCTAAATGCCCATCGGTAGATGATTGGATCAAAAAATTATGGTACATATACACAATGGAATACTATGCAGCAGGAAGAAAAAAAGAACTACTACACTTCGCAACAGCATGGATGGAACTGGAGAGCATTATGCTAAGCGAAATTAGCCAGGGGGCGAAAGACAAATACCATATGATCTCACCTATAAGTGGAACCTAACCAACAATACAAAGATGCAAGGAAAATAAGACCAGCAACACTGAAAGGAAAAGAAATCAACAGAGACAAGAGGGAAGGAGGGGGGCGGGGACAAGGAAGGGAAGGGGAAAGTCAAGAACATATAGCAAGGACTCATGGACAAAACCAAAGGGGAAGAGCTGAGGGAGGGAAGGAGGGAGGAGGCAAGGGAAAGTGGTGGGGGGTTGGCAGAGACAAATGTATTTGAAAAAATAAATTAAAATAAAATTAAAAAAAAAAAAACATCTTACATCAAGCCCCCAAAATTTTAAATTGAGACTTCAAAACCAGACCAAGCCCTTTAAGGTATGGTCTAGTTCACTAAATTCATCATATTTCCTCAGAATCCAACCTCCTTTCTGATTTCACTATTTGTTATCACCACACAATTCCATTAAATAATTGTGTGGGAGCCTGACCAAACACTATTAATGAGCTACTTCAGATCAGTAGCTCTTCATAGGGATAATTCATAGATAAACTCATAGGATGTTATGTCTTACAGAACCACTATAATGTCCTCAAGGAATGAGTGAGGAGGTGACATTTTAGCAATTTTAGGCAGCTTTCTCAAAGTCACATAGCTTATTGGTGACAGAGTGGAAATGAGAACCCAGGACTCCTGACCGCCAAGATATGGCATTGCCCGTCAATCAGTCATGAGTGGGGAAATGAGATGTGACATAGCACATGAAAAATCTATAAAAAGCCAATAACATCTCCAAGCAAAACATACTAATTGAAGTTGTTCCTGTGGAGACAGCACTGGTCTGACACAGGAGAGCAGTCCCTACCGTTATCGTCATTTCTGAGTCCTCCTCCTTGGCCCTAAACTTCACATCTGGTATGTCACAGATTTACCTGCAGGGCCACTTCTGCCTCTTCTAAAGCAGGTTTGGCTGCTTCCAGTTTCTCTTCTGCGATGGCTTTATCTTTAGAGATGCCGTCTACAATGGCCTGTGCTTTGTCCTTTACCTTCTGTACCTCAGCCTTGACCTTTTCAGCAGCTTGTGCCTTCATCGTCACTTCTTTTAAGACCTTATTCAACATAACACAAAAAAAATACCTCATCTGAAATTACCAAAGTCTGAGCTGAAAAGGCACATTTTCCCCCTTGATTTCTTGATTTCGTCCACTCATAAAAGTTTTCATACATAAAACTAAGAGAATCGTATGCTAATGGAAATAAGTAATTTGTACTTTCATGGCTATAACTTAGCAGCTCTGCATACATCATCAACGTTTCTGAGCTGGGAATGCAAAACGAATGTGGTACACATGTGAATGTCTACCCACCGTGTCAGCTTTATCATTTGCCACTTGTAGCTCCTTTTCTTTCACTTCCAGTTCTTTGCTCAGAGCTGCAACAGACTCTGAAGCTTCTTTTAGCTTTTTCAATCCAGTATTCATCCTGGGATTGAAAAATCCAAGGGAGCAATGTTAAATTTTGTGGTACTTGGCCACATTTTCCAAGTGGTCTACCATTATGGATAGTAATGGCCATATTTGAAGAAGGAATATATATGCAAATAGCAATCTGTCAGAGCTTGACAGAAGGGGTACAGGGCCAGGCTCGATTCTGGTCTGAAGACATTTATAAGTTTTCTATAGACTGCGTGTGGAAAGAGAAAACCTGCTAAAAATATTCTGCATGACATGAGGAACCACAGTGGGTCTAGGATCTGTATCATGCGACTAACATGCTTAATAAAATTTAGCTAAACGACAACAGACTTCAAATGCTTGAAGCCCTATCTTGAAGAAAGCAAATTAATGACTTCTGCTTGTCAAAAGAGACCAATAGGGTTAAAAGAAGAAAGATTTGGGATCAAGAGAAGAAAGGCATTTAAAGCCATGAGAATACCATTGCAACAGCACTTGCTGCCTGCCTGGACCTGAAGTAATGTGTCAGAAAGACGGAAATGTTCAGAGTTATTTAGTCCAATCACCCCCACCCAGGTGTCCCTCTTGCAACAACCCTGGCTGATTCTGGCCACATTTAGCAAAAGATGTAAGTAGTCAGAAACAGCAGGGCAGAGAGTGAAATTTGGAACGAACTTCAGCGAAATGAAGTATTCACCATGCAGAGAACATCAGACAGACTATCCTAGACGCTCAGAAAGGGTGATAGAACAGTATGAGAGCAGGGAGAAGGGGATGTCTGGGTCCTCAGTTTCCTTCCAGGTCTGCTATTTCTGTAATTATGGCAGTCATTATTAGACAAAGTGGTAGGCCACAAAAAAAAACTTGGCAACATTTTATCTATTGGGCAACAATAAGACCCCTAGCAACCATGCTCTTTGCATAGGTTTGAGAGGAGGGTTTTTCAGCCTCAGCACTATTTGCCCTTGGGGATGAAGAATTCTCTGACGTAAAGGTTGTCCTGCACACTGTAGGATGATTAGCAGCATCCCTGACCTCTACTTACTTGATACCAGTAGCACCTTTGCACACTCCCACCATCCAAGTTTTAACAAACAAAATGTTCACCAGGAACAAATTTGCCCCTCGTTGAGAGCCACTGATTTAAAAATAACTCTGGATTTGAACTTCACATTTACCTGTTGGCCAGAGTTTGCACTTCCATGTGCTTTTCTCTATATATGAACTTATAGGCCTGAATAAAGGAGAGGTATGACTTGGGAGTCACATGGGTAGAACGTCGGAATCTCTGGAAATAATCAACACACTTCTCAGCTACTCCATCCTGGAAGGAGCCCATGCACTGGACCACTTCTTTCTTGGTTTCCAAACTGCAGCCGATATCATAGGAAGAGAGGAAGTGTTCAGACACTGGAAAGAATAAAGACAGTAGCATGTGAAATAGGAACATGAATTAACATTGTAAAAGTTAGCTGGCGATTTTTAAAAGACTCAGACATTTCTTAGGACTCCATACCATTTTTATAGCCCCAACTAGGTAGACATAAGTGAGCATTTTTGGTCCCAGGCCTCAGCTTCAATCATTTTATTTTCCCTTTCATCTACAAAACTATCATAGACTATAAGCCTATCATTCTTTGTTTTCTGAGACTTATACAATGAAGTCTCTTCTACACAGCTGCAGGTTCTGGTCAGCAGCCAGCCTGTTTTATGGTTTACATAAGGACAAAAGTGGTGCAAATAACTCAGAAACCAGTGCCCACCTGGTACTCATATTTAACAATCTCATTCATTTTTTTACTCAGAACCTGTCATAGCCTTAATTCCCCCAGGCTCTGACTGCATTTGGCATGTGGAATGTTCACCACTAAAATTTTTTATGCCTGGGCCAACTTGTTCTTAAATGTAGCAGCTGGTCGTTTGCAGTCAATTCTATTTTACAGCATCTTTTTAAAATGTTTGGGTAAAAAATCTCCTGTTGTTGACCTTTATCTTCCCAACAGTGCCAAACATGGGACCAATTCTCAAACAGCGTTTCCTATTATAAGAAGAGGCCACAAAGTCAGAGCTGACCGGTCACCGTGTACACATGAAGTGTCTGCTCCACACCGGCCCCTGGGATGATGCCATGGTGTGAGAGAAGAGGTGACATTTGGTCTCATCCCCAAGGAGCTTAACTGGGTTTTGCGTAATGCAGTTAAAACTTATCACAACCACATTCATGAATCTTAGGGAAAAATGGCCTATGGATTTGCTTTTAAAATACTTAAAATATTAAATAATATACATAAGAGTGGCAAATATTTAGAAAATGGCCAACAAAACAGAAGATAAAGAGAAGGAATCAAGTGAACAAACCTATTAGGTAATAGTTGGCAAAGAAATCAAAAATGGTATCTTTTCACCATTATAAACTGATCACCACATTAATGCAGTAATTGTGAGGCAGTTTTTACATCTATGTAAGCAATAGAGACTATCAACTTGGTTATAAATACAGTTTACCATATACACTGAAAGGCAATATATTGACACTCAGACGTCTTAAAGAGACTGTTTAAATTACAGGAAGTTTAAGTCTGTGTGGGCACTGGAAACATAGGAACAATTCTTACTTATGATAAACTTTTTGTAAGTATGAAGAACAATAGCTTCAATATTCACTATGTGCCAGACATGTGCTTTACTTGGCATTATGAGATAGCTTCAAGAAAGTGCCTGTTGTCTGAAAACTTCCAATTGTTCACCACGTAATAATTATTTTCCTTCTTGTGTGAACAGAGAGTATCAATAATGGTAACATTTTTCTTTATGTGGCAAGTTGTCTTTTTCTCTTCAAAAATCAAAGAGAATGAAAATGGGACAGATTCAAAGTATGTTTTTCCATAGACCCACAATCTCTGAAGCAGGAAAGTTCTATAAAGGATCAGATAACTTCCTCTTGGGGTGACCGAAAGGACAAGAGGCCACAAAAGCCCTTCCATCATCCTCAGTATTCATTCACCAAGACGACAATGCCAGTATTGGGGCTCACCTTTGGGAGGTATCTAAAGTCGCAGTGGGTCATATGCTGGTAGTGTGTGCTCAAGTCATGTGATAGGGAACAAAGTGGAGTATGTCTGGGACAGAAGAGAGGACACTGGGCTCAGTCCCTGAATTTTGCTGTCTTCCAATTTCCACTGCATTTCAGATTAAAAGAACTGAAGTAACAAATTGAGGGAGGCACTTTAGTTGCCATTCCAGTAGCCATTCCCTTGCTTCATTACTAAAAGAATCCCAATTTTGCTCAGGGTAGCAATCTGTCCAACTAAAACTTTGATTCCCCAGACTCTCTCGTAAGTAGGGGTGACCCAGTTCTGGACAATGACGTGCAGACAAAGTTCCTGGGGAAGAATCTTGTCCTGAAGCAAAGGGCGAAGGTCCAGGCAGGCTGCGTGGAGCTGTAGCAGCCAATGAGCCTGGAAGAATAAAAGCCACACCCTAAGGATGACAGCAGGGCAGAAGGAAGAAGAGCCCCAGTAGCACTGTCCTGCACTGTGCACTCTGTTTTTTTGGTAGCAGGTAAAAGAAAAAAATAAAACTTACTTGTTTAAGCCACTACTTCTCTGGCTTTCTCTTATGGACAAATACATTCTTAACTGATACATTCAGAGGACAAACATATCTAATCTTGAATGATCCTAAATCAGAGAACCTTATCAGTTAATCCTTAGAACACCCCTAAGTGATCAATAGTATTGTGCATACTTTTGTAGATAAGGATAATGAGGCTACGAAAAGTTTGCTCACAGGTGGCAGATTTGGAATTCTAACCCAAAGGTGATGGACTCCAAAGGCCAGGTCACTTTGATTTAGAAATTCCAATAGAACCAAATGATGTGGATGGAGTCTTTAGGGTGCTAAGAAAATACTTTTAATTGATGCCCAAAGTTCAAAAATACTTATTGAATAACAAGCTTCCTAAAAAAATACAATACTTTTCCTAGAAAACCGTGGGCGCTCATGGTTTTTATGATTTTCTCGGGTTCTTAGGCGCAGTTGCCTCATTTCTCTGTACGCTGCACCATGCATTGTGAACAGTCGCAGAAGTAGAACTCATAGGACGAAAATCTTGTATGTGTGATGTAAGTCAAGTGGTAATTTTCAAAGAGGGCCAAGTAATTTACACAATTAAAATAGCCTTCTTTGAAAATATATATATATATGCGCCAAATATATGCTATTAATTTTGCTTGAGATTTTATTTCCAAGTAAGGATGGCCTATTTTCAAAATTATATGTTAGTTTAAAGTGGAAACTAGCAGATTACCTTGGAGAAATCTAAATGAAGTTAATTGATTTAGTAGTGAGTTTGAAATTAAGAAACAGAAGACTACCAGAATGAAGATAGTACAGATATTTAGAAAGAATTACCTCAAAACAATGCTATATAAAGCAATAAACAAAAATTTGCCAAAATGGAGATTATTAAATGGTGGGTAAGCAGAATTTTACAACATAAAATGAAGCATATTTTTCTTTAAATACTTCATCAAGAGACTCAGCCAATTTTAATTCAGATATATAAAAATATAGTTATTAAGAGACTATGAATATAATATTAAACTGCTGAGCATGTTTAAATTAGAAAAGTACTCTCCACAATAACAACAAACTACCCAAAAGAGAAATTAAGAAAGTAATCCCATTTATAAGAGCATCAAAAAAACAAAAAACAAAAACAAACAACAAAAAAAAAACACAGGAACAAACTTAACCAGAGAGGTAAAAGACTTGTACACTGAGAACTATAAAACACTAATGGAAGAAATTAGACATACATAAATACATGGAAAGACATACATGTTTATGACTTGGAAAAATATTATTTTTTAAATTTCCATACTACCCAAAGCAATCTACAGACTCAATGCAACTCCCATCGAAAGGTGAGAAGGTAGGCTCCAGAACCCTTCCTCTCCTCCACTTTCCACTGTGTTATCTGCTATGGCTACCCATGGGGTTTTACTGGGAAATAAGGCTCTTCTTAATCATTATTAAAATACAATAATCAGACAAAAAGTTTGAAAGCTGCTGCCATTGACTCAGTATTCCCTTGAGGTTCTGATACAGTAGGTCAAAGGGGAGACCTAAGCAACTCTACCATCTAAAATATCCACAGATAATTTCACACCAAAAGATGAAAAAAACTTTAAGCTAAATGAGTGATCTCTAGCATCTTCTTTACTACTTTTACATTCAATTCCATATACGGGGTAAGAGAAGCAGTCATGTTCCGTAGGATGGAAGGTCAGAGAGAAGCAGAAGCAGCAAGGACCCTAGTCAGAGAGCCCTCTGGTGACCACCTTCCTTTAAGGAAAGACACCGTCAGAGGATTGTTGGATAATGATTTCCGATTTGATTCCCAGCACTGCCGCCACGAGAAGAAAAAGCCCAAGAGACACATGGCTTAAACTACTCTTAGGTTGATCAACCCACCTGAAAAAGAACACAAACGCTATCAAATGAAAAAACTCAGTGGTTTCCTGTGAAATACCAGAACCTGTCTGGGGGTTCACCTGAGACATAGTTTCGAACCAGAACTATTATACATTGATCCTAAGAGGTACAGACCGAAGATCTCATTCTCTGATAACCACGCTCTGGGAAAAATGAGCTGCCAAATAAGAAAGAACTCCTCTTGCAAAAGTCCTCTAACCTTAGACAAAGTGCCTTTTGACTCAATCCAGAACAGAGACAGCAAGCAGCGCAGAATGTAAAGAAACAAGCAAACATTGTAAACCAGAAACTCTGACATAAAAATTTCCACCACACTAACCAGCAATTAGGGCGTCCTTAGGCCAGCGGCTGAACCAGTCAACAGTGCACCCTGAAATCAAGGCGGGGAACTTCAAAGCCCGGTTTCGAAATTTCTCCCCCACCGGTGAAAAGCAGAGCACAACGTGAAGGTTCTGTCGGACCCGGCTCATGAAATAGTCATACAGGTTCTCATTGGTCGGCGGACATCTGGGGTGTTCTTTTTTCATGACTGATGTGAGATCACTATTGATTTCATCAATTTCATCCCGAGCAAATAGGTTGGAGACCTGAAAAATAAAAATGCAGACGTTCAAATTCAGTACAGACCTAAGAAAATGGATTGAAACAGGTAGCTCAAAAATGTCTCTCCTCCATATATGTTCTTAAACTCTCCTTTAGAAAATTAACCAATAGTCTTCAAGGTGAGAGAAACCACATTTTAAATACACCAATGATTCTATTATTAATTGCAAAGTCACAGGCTGTCCTTGTAACCTCTCTCTTCTGTTTTTGTCATTTTTTACTTGGAGCACTCATTAAGGTTTTCAATGTATACAGCACCACATTTTGGGAGTTTTATTCTCTAAAAAACCCAATAGAAAAAGTCATTCTTCATATTGATCTCCTAATCCCCAATAACAGCAATTATTCCAAACTCTCATGCAAGGAAATACAGGCAGCTCTAAAGTTGGAGGGAATCTGAAGAGGCAATAAATGAGCTCCTACCTCACCAGATGATAAAACGTTGTTCATATATTCCAAAAATGACTCATCCTTGATCTCATTGTCCGTGAAAATAAAAGTGATTCCTTTGCCTTGCTGACCAGCTGTTCTATACAAAATTTTCAGGTCTTCCATCAGATTTGATGTGTTGTAGGATCTAAGAAAATATTGTCACTGTGTCATTAGCTAAGTTATTTTGATGGGAAGGAAAGAAAGATCCTTAAAACAATGCTTTATGCCATTTAGTTAACCAAAAGAAAAGAAAAAAGAGGTTGATATTGTTCCATCAGATAGGTGTTACATTGTTTGTGAATATTACTGGTTCATTATATTTACTTACAAAGATGAAACTGACTTTTTAAAAATTTCTTTCCATTTCTAATAGCTATTCTTTTGGAAGTACTAGAAGTGCACCATCATGGTAAAGTTTTGAGTACTTTGCTGTTCACCAAAGTCAAGGACTATTTTTTTTAATGAGATAAATTGACATATAACATTATACTAATTTCAGGTGTACAATATAATAATTTGATGTTATATTTAGGTGGAGCAAAAGTGAGTTTACAGTTGTGAGTACACAAAATACAGACTTTATTTTTGTATTATTATTTATTACATTATTTCCCATATTAACAACTGTAAACTTACTTTTGCCCCGCCCTGTATTTTGCAAAATGATCACCACACGTCTAGTTAACATCAAGTCAAGTAACATATTTACTTGCAAAGATGAAATTGATTTTTTAAATTCCACATTTTATAAAACATTATAATTCATTTTTACACACACAAAGATTAGAGAAAAAAGTAAACCTGAAACAAAAATGTAATGTTTACCACAACTAAATGTCATCTGAATGTGTTTATGTTTCACTTTGAAAATAATTTTTGGTAACAATAATAGAAAGGTCAAATTGGAATCCATACTAAGCACCACCTGCAATGACATTTTAAAAGATACTTCACAAATTAAATTAAACTAAATCATTTCAAACCTTCATTATATCAAGTGAGGGAGAGACCCTATTATAAATGGTCCCTTCCTCATCCCCCAATACACTTATTTTCATTACATCCTGGGATCTCATATGAAAGGGTTTGCTGAGCAATCATTAAACTGTAGTAGCTAGAAACATTATAAAATACCCCAACATAAATCTCTTTTCACTGTCAAAAACAATACTTTGGTGGAAATTAGCTTGCAATCATGAAATGCTACAGAAGTCCCAATATAGAGTAGGCGATAACTGCCGGAAGTGAAAATAAAGATATTTCAGCCTTGGAGACTTGGATACACTAAATTATTATTTGAACTTTGTGTCATTAAATAAATTCAAGAGTTCAGAGCACAAGAGCAAATGGCCTTCTGATTTTTTAAAAGCTACTAAATATTTAACTTCTATACTGTGTGCTTTTTTAACATCCATAACCTAAACCCTAGAACCAGAAGCACCACTACTATGCATCAATATTTTAAAAAGACTTCTACAGAAGTAAGATCTGAGAGATTTGAAGAGAATATCAAAAACACAGTGCCCCCTAAAAAAAAAACTAAAGAAAATATCTCGCCCCAGCGTCTTGTGGTATGTGAAAGTTTCAGCCCAATCCCCTGGACCAAGGGGGTCAAATAACATGATCCGAGTCACACACAAACAATTGGCCTTGCTTCCCAAACCCGAGGCTCCTGCTCCTTGACCCCTGGCTACTTGGCTGTGCAATAGCTTAGCAGTAAATTGGTGTCTTGAAGGCTAGGAGGAGGCAAGGAGGCCTTGACCTCCCCTTTTCATCAGTATTGAAGCATTCCCAATATGACATGTAGAAGAAATAATTTATCATAGAGAAAGGAATTGTAAGATATTTTTACTAATGCAGTGTGGTGCAGTGAAAGTCAAGATAGACCAGAAGCTAGTAATATTGTGGTCAATTCTCAGGCAGATCGGGGATTTCAGATAAGACATTGCATTTCTCAGTCTCGGCTATGAGAGAGGCTAACGTTATATGCCTGACAAACCTGCAGAGTTCTTTTAAAGATTAAATTAGCTTGTGCGTGTATCCATGGACTTCCATCAATGAGGAAGGTCAGCTAAATGTTTTTTTCTATTGGGCCAAGCCACAGCTCTAGATCAATGCCCAATAGGCAAGGCTTTCTGCTCCTACACCTAGAAATTAACCTCTAATAATTTTCAAGCCCACTAAACTTCCCCAACCGGCCTCTTGTTTCTCATCTTGGTTAATCCTGAAGTTCTGTTTAGCATCTCTGAATTACCCCTGCTTATCTCTTCATGTTGACTTCTCTCTTCCTAATTCTCCCTGCACTACACACATGTCACTGAGGACAACCCTTTTGGGGTTCCCTATCTTGATAAGGAGCAGCTCCCCAAGCCAGAACCAGGATAGAGAAGTCCAAAAGCTCAACTTTCTAATGATCTCATGAATCTGTCTTCTTTTCTCCATCCTCACTGCTACCACTCATGATATACTCATTGCTTCCCTAGATCCCTGAGTCAACCTTATGGCTGTTCTGTTTAGCTCCTTCCATTCATTTTCTGTACTACATACGAATCTGACATGCCTTCCCCAGTGGTAACTCATTAATGGTTTCCTATTGCTCCAGGATTGAGTCCCACTCCCTCATGACACTTTCAAAGGTCTCTGTTTCTCTTCCTTTCGCATTTTCCACCTTACCCTGTACATCCAGCCACATTTAAATTCTTCCAGGACCTCGAATGTGACTTCACATGTGTTGATTCTTTTGCCTGGAACATTCTTTACCACTCTTCTTCTCTTAGGTAATTTTGACTCACGTTCAGGTCTCAGGTGGAACATCTCTTTCTCCACGAAGCCTTTTCTAACCATCCCCTAGACTAGATTAGAAGTCCCTCCCATTTTCAACAGAACCTGGTCTGCATTTATTCCCTTTTCATCGATAGCACCTATGCAACACACCTTCCTGAGTAAGTTGCTCAGTTGTGTGACCCCCTTGAATTACTGTAAACTTCAGGATGACACAGGCCAAGTTTACCTTGCTTACCATGTACTCCCCAGCACCTCACCAGTGCCTGACACATAGGTGATGCTCGATAACTATCTTTAAATGTATGAATGAGTAAATCTGTATGAAAATTTATATAGATTTACTCATTCATACATTTAAAGATAGTTATCGAGCATCACCTATGCTCGAGATCTGAAATCTGAATTAGCATTTAATAGGGATATATTTCTTCTGAAATGCACTAAGAAGAATACACATAATACTCACATCATACACAACACAAAAACAAGAAGGCTGCTACTCACCATAACGAGAAGCTCAAATGTTTCAAAAGCAAATTATTAATGTGAGATTTTCAGCATTCAAAACACAGGTTGAAAGGAGAAGATAAGTCTACACTGAAGGAGAAAAACTATTGTGATGTTTATGTATAAGAAAAATGCATTCTTAATTTCAGGTGGCCCCTGAGAACCTTTTATCAAAATCCATTTCAGGTTAACTAAAGTGAAATCTTGTTACCTTGTCAGAGTGATCTGGAAGGAAGTATAGCCAGCAATGAAGGAGGCCAATCTTGTCAGACTCTGCTTTCCTGACCCGCCAACCCCCACCAGGAGGGCATTTCCCCGGGGAGTGCGAATGATGCGTGAGATCTAGAATATGGAATAGCAAAAGCACATATCGTTCAACATGTAGACATCCCATTTTTCTTATTTCTTCTACGTGGCGTTTTGGAAGATGTAGCTTCCTCAGGATCAGAATGGAGAGAGACACCGGTTGGAGGAATGAGAGCATTGCTGAAATAAAATAGTGTTCAATGATATCGAACAGAGTGGGGACTGCGGGGTATGCCTTTAGGAAACTAGGAGGAGACCAGTACAGGTAGGTCCGCAGTCAGCCCAGACTGTGGCTTGCTTTCGGTCTTCAAGAACGGAAATAAAGGAGACCTAAAGGTTTCCTTTAGTTTGCCCAACCTAATGCAGTAGGATAGGAAAGAAAAAAGAAATTTCAAAACAGTAAGTATTTTTGGAATATAGAACCCACAGTGGATTAGAATATCCTCCACTTTTGAAAAATGACAGTTTAAATTGAAGATAAGAAAATTCCCAAAATATGGCATAACGATACAATTTCTTTTTAAAGAATAAACATAAATACCCTCTTATTCTTTGGTCAAGACAGGGATACCTAAGATATATACCAAGAAGCGATTATGGGTGGACCAGGAGTCCACTCTGTTCCAGTCAGTAGCCCCTAACCATTCCCCATCATGGTAAAAGTGCATGTTTCTTTGGCTTTTATGGTATTGAATGAACTACCTACACCATCAGGCCTCCAGTCCCACCTAGCGGAAATTCAGTGCAAAATCCAATGCAGATTCCTTGCAGAATCTTTTCCTCCTAAATGCAGGTTAAGCCTGGGATATTGCTATAATACCCACTTTTCTCTAGAGAGTGAGTTGGGGGCTAAGAAGGAGTCACTTTCCTATGGCTGGGAAGATTCCTGGGGTAACTTGGGCTCTACACGCTGCCAAGGTTTTGTTAAATAGCCTTTCTCCAGATTCAGGAATAAGCTATGCTCTATTCATATTGACTATTCTTGGCTTTTGAATTATTTCTCCCAATTTAGTGTAAGTCCCAGGAAATGAAAGCCATTTTCCTGTCTCCTTGGTGGACCCAAGAATTTGTGAGACAGGGAGGTGACACATGCCTTCTTCCAGCCTCTTCCTCACCCCTCCCATGTGATTGTCTCCAAAGTTGTTGTAGGCAGGGAAGAAGTGGTACTGGTAAGAATTCTTGGGATTTTTGCCAGTGTTTATTCACATTCTTTCCCTGGTATTACTTCAAGAGTTGCAGATAGTGCAAGCAGGGAGCAACTATAGGCTATATTAGAACATCCTGTGTCTTCTTTGGTTAATGTATTTCAAAAGATATGGCTTTTGTCATAACCATTTCCTTTGGTTGATGCTGGTGAACATATTAAGGATTTAAATAATTGTTGTTATTTAGGTATTGGGACCTTTCATCCCAATATGTTTTCCTGCAACTGGGCCTAGGTCTTACACTAAATTTTTTTTATTCCCAGTTTCTAGTACATATTTGGCAAATGAACACATAGATGAACAAATAAAAAGGTTTTAAAAACAGATGCCAAACTCATAATCTAGTTAAAAACAGAAGCAGGTGGAAACATAATCAAGTGAGACCTTAAGATGGGGCTATTTTGTCCTATTTATGCAGGCTATGAGATAGAGAAATTCATGTTTGAATTCCTTTAGCAAATATTTAAAAATTTAATAATGTCCATCCTCCCTTGCAAGTGCTCACACTCTAGCAGGAGAGGGACCTTTAAATGGAAACCTGGTAACACACATGGTATATGCTAGGACAGGAATAATGGCAATCGGAGGACAGAATGCAAAGGAAACCCCACTGCTCGCTGGAGGCAAGTCTTCGGTGTGGAGCTGAATTTGACCTGGATCTTGAAAGATGACTAGACATTCATCATGCAGAGAAGTTGACATGCCAGGCAAGAACTGAGCTAAATTTTAAGAAGAGGAAATGGGATGCATGTGCAAAGTCTCAGAGTCAGCAGATGCCCAGAGAATTTCCTACAGGGGTGGGGACTTCAGTAGCAGGTACAGAAATATCAGGACATGAGGTACCAAAGGATTGTTTAGGGTTATATTGGGGACTTGGTTCAATTTCAAACCCATTTGTTGAGCCTCTCAAGTATGCCTGTTTCAGCAGTAGTCCAGCCAATGAATGCCAAGTTGAACAAATTGGATGCTCATCCTCATGGAACTTATCTTCCCATAGGAAATACAAACACATAAATAGATCAATCTACACAATGCAGCACCTGCTGGGAATGTGGTATTGATGAGATGCCCTGAAATCAGGATGTGTTTCATCATAAATTGTTTTTTTCTAGATTAAGCACTAGATTATCCATAGCACATCCCATGCAGTTGGAATGTTAGACGGGAACTAGATCACAAAAAAAAAAACATACATGCCAGGACCTAAATGTTAACCAAAGAGGCAAAAGAGATATTGCAGAGATATCTCTGTTTTTTTTTAAGTCCTTATCTTAATTAAGGAAGGAATTATGAAATATGCTTGGTCTCACATCACATCCTATTTTGCTTCAATTTTATCTTCAATTCTCTCTCTTGGCTTCAATCATGTCTTATAACTAGGTAACATATTTCAAGACTCACACCCGCATGACACTGAGTTTGGACGTACTATTCACAGAAAGCAAGAGTGTAGAAGAGAGGGTCAACCTAGAAGACAGGGAAGATTGTAGTATTTTAGCTCAAAATCCAGTCATGGATTCTTTAGATTCCTGACCAGACACGCTAGAGGCTCTGAGAGTGAGGGACCCTGTGCTGAGGCACCAGTGCCTTGAATGTGATGTCATCACTCATCATCTGTGTCACAAAACACAGAAAAAAAGACAGAGCTATGGAACTATCTCAAGCACAAACTAACGTAAGTAACCTCATTTCTATTTGAGCTATTATAAAATCCCAGGCCAATCATACTTTGTCTCCAGTATACACTTAGTCATAAAGTTGCCATTGGTATTATCTATTCAGAAAATACGTTTTTCTTTTTTTCTTCTCCCTTTTAATCATCAAATATGACAGAATGTCTGTTCTTCCTGAAACACATAACTTTTACTCAACTATTAATTGTGAGCTAATTTCAAAATGTTACTCACATTTGGCTTTGAAAGAACATTTGAGCTTCTATTTCAGTACAGATGTCTCAGGATCCGGAGAATTTAGAGTTTTCAGGCTAAATGCCTCGTGCTGGGGAGATCCAACCTCAGAACAAACTCTCTGTCTTCCTCCCTCTCCCAGACTTACCCCAGCCTTGCAGAAATGCCTCCTGCCCACTCTTCCATTTTCAGGGGGAGGGTAAACTAGATAGCCTCTACAATCCTTTCCATTTCTAAGATTCATTAATTAGTAGAGGTAACAATTCGTAATTATGAGATTATACCACCTGGTTAAATCGAAGTGATGGAAGATAGCCTCAAATTGTCTTCTTTCTAACTGAAAGGGTATATAATAATCTGAAGGAGTAATTCACATGAACAACATGAGAATATCAGCAACAAATTTTAAATAGCATTATCTTCCATCACAGATAAATTAGGTCATATAAGTTATCAAGTAAATACTGTATTTTACTTCCAGCCCTTAAGGATCAACTGCCCTATGAATGGATACTTAAATGACTAGTTTGACAAAGTAGAAAGAAAACTGTTTTTTTGGTGGATGTCATTCTAACAGGAATTTTCATCCAACCCAAAGTCAATTGTTTATGCACTACTTTTTACTTGTTATTTCTAATTGTGGTCAAATACATCTAACATAAAACTTACCATCTTACCTATTTTAAGGGTATAGCTCAATTGCATTAAGTGCATTCATACTGTTGTCCAACCACCACCACCATCCATCTCCAAAACCATTTTCATCTTGCAAAGCTGAAACTATACCATTGAACACTCCCCGCCTTCCCTTCACCCCAGCCCCTGGCAATCACTGTTCTACTTCTTGTCCCTATGAAGTTGATTACCCTAGGTACATCATGAAAGTGGGATCATTCAGTAATTGCCTTTTTATGACTGGCTTACTTCACTTAACATAATGCCTTAAAAGAGTCTGCACTATTTTTAATAACTATCTTTTGCATGATGCAAAAAAAAAAGCAGACTTTTTGCCTGTGCTTTGAACTCCGCTGTCAACCACATTGATTCTATGTAGTGAAAATATTGAGCTGGAAGCTGTAGAGCAACACTGAATAAAATTATCATATCACACATTTGAAGTACACATGCTCTGATTTTAAGCCTATATGTGTGACACGTTTCATTCAGTTTAGAAATTAAATTGGAATATAGCACTGAGTTCATTTTTAAATTGAATATTCTCCTAAGAAATGAAAATGAAAGACGATGGAAAATTTCTGGTGTGGAACTAAGAATCTGTCACTTTGGGGAGGTGCCAATGGGCGTGGCCACTGACCTTGACTAAGTGGACCATCGCATCCACGAAGAACACCAAATCCATGCCGGCGCCACGGACACTCTCATTATGGAGCTGCAGGAACATATTCAAACGCTCCTTTAAGTGATCAAAAGACTGAATTGGCTCATAAACTTTGGGCATCTCCACATCAGTCTCCTCAGATGATTCTCCTGGGATTGGGGGAGATGAATTTGTTAAGTGTCTTCAACTCGCTGAGCTTTATTACTTTTTTCAACGTAAATTAATACATTCATAGCTCTACAATTTAACACTAAATATTACTAATTGTCATCCAAATGTCATATTATGGATTTTTTATAGAAGCAAACAATACTAAAAGTATTAGAACTTTTGTAATCAATATGCAGTCATAGCTCTTTCCTGTCCAGAAAGGGCCAATTTCAAATAATGTTATAAATATTAAACTTAACTTGCATCCATAATTCAACATTGGCATTTCAAGGATCCTCCCAGAGATATTCACCTAATCATCAAAATGAAGATCAAAAAAACATAGGGATTTAACATCAAAATCAGCAGCAGAGGTCAAGAATTAAATGATTTTTTAATAAGAATAAAGAAGTCATTGCATCGCTCAATTTTTATAATTTGGAAATGTCAGATAAGTGGTGAGGACAAAAGTGAATTTTGGTGAATGGAGGTAGCGGGTTGAGAGAAAAAAAATAATGATTTCCTAAATAAATAAACATATTGAATTATTTCACTGGAAAATTATTAAAATCAATACCTTTTTTAAAATTAGAAATATATAATACACCAGTTGAACACTTTCCCAACTTTGACTACAAAGCATAATACCAAAGGAAAGGCTAAACTGAGCATATATACAAATTCACTATCAATTAACAGTAATAGGAAAAAAAGTAACACATTCATCAAATATACTAATAACAAGTCAGAAATTTATTGGGTATTAGGAAAGTGACTGTATCCTCCAAAGTCAATACTACATAATTATTTTCAATTGGTCCTGTCCTAAGATATCTGTATATTAACCTTTTTATGACACAGCAAGGAAACTGATTTAATGTAATCATTAAAATTGGCCTAGTTCAAAAGCTCTCACTAATTGAATTTCAATAGTCATGTCACTGCTTCATAAATGTTCAACTCAAGCTTTGAGAAACAAAGTGCTCTGAAGTCACAAAAGATTAAGTGTTTGCCTCCAGATGCCACCTACCCTAAACTGCATTTGTGCTCCTTGAAAACTATAATCTAAGTATTTATCTTTCTGAATTAGAGGAAATAAAGTTCATAAATTCTAATTATCTTGCAAATGATCCTACCTTTAAAACATTTTAGTATTTGTGTGACTTGATTTAAAATAAAATGTGTCAGCTTCTTTCTGTGGAAGGATCCTTCCAACTGCATAGCCAGCAATAAACCTCCTTTTTATAATTTTCAATCAGAAACTTGATAGATCACATATATCCTTATTAAATCTAGTACGGGGCTGCCTGGTAATTTTCAATCATTTAAAAGATATAAATAGCATGTATTTAAACATGTCTTTTTAAATTGAGAAATTAACTTAAAATCCATTCTCAGTATAGAAGATGTCATTAAATGAAAGAAAAATATTCTACTTAAGCCCACTTATTTCTAAGAGAAAAAATTATTGGAGTACTACTTCTTCTCATAAGAAAGGGTATATATCTCAATTTTTCATGAAACCATCACCACAAAAGCTTGCCTCCACACCACACATCTCTTTCCAATTATATTCAATGGCCCTCCCAGATAATCTGAGGTCTTTCTTTATATTTTGAACACTTGGAATGATCCAAGGAATAATAATCATCATTTTTGCTTCCTTTCATTCAACAGTGACTGTGAACCACAGATTGCCCAAGCCAGTCTGAAGATAACATTTCATTCATTCCCCACAGTGCCCCATGATGCATATATTAATATGCCCATTTTTGTTAATGAGGATAATGAGAGTCTAGAAAGTTCAGATACTTGCCCAGCTAATGTATGGTAGGTCCCTTCCTCACTCTACCTCTGTGTGACAGCTGTCAGTCCTGTGCACTTTTGCCCTATCCTCCCTCCCAACTCTATCTTAATATCCAAGGCTCTCATGCATAAAAAGTAGTCAGTCTTTAAACACCATGAGTATGCATTTATTCACTCATTCTATATTTATGGTGCACCTAGTATGTCCTGGGCTTATGTTAGTAACATTTACTAGACAAAAATTCAGCATCCTAAACTGAATCTTCAGATAGCCCTTTGGGGAATTCAAATACTGCTTCAGTAGTTTACCTGTTGCTTCAGGTGCATCCCTCAAGAAATCCACAAAATAAGAGTCGATTCCACAATCCACCAAGAGCTTTTTCTCTTCACCAAACTCCTCCTCCACCACACTTGCTAAAGCCTTATCAAACCAGGCCACATCATCAGGCACCGTGAAACGATCGGCTATCACGCGTTTACATTCATGTTTCCACAGCCTTAACAGTTCCTGTACAAAGCACAATTAAAACATGTTACTAATCGCCATCATGCCAGAGTTGGGGATTCAAGGTCACAACACTGTGGAGTACCATCCATCCTGATTTAAGATGCTGTAGAAAGTTAGGGTTAAGATATATTGCACTTAACTTCATTTCATATTCTTCTCATTCAATAATATTAAACAGAAAGTAGTGTCATTTTCAGTCTTTAAATTAAAATGAAAACATTGCTAGACAAAATGCTAAAATGCTCTGATAACCAACAAACTAATATTTTATGTAAGTCTATGTTTATGACAAATGAGTCCATTTTGATAAGACACCTAGATTCATGTGGCCAGAGCATAATATAAAATGCAGTGTATAAACAACGCCAACTTATATCTAACAATTGAGATATTACAAAAGTATATTTATTTAATACAACATGAAGGTAATTTGTGGCAAAAAAAAAAAAAATATATATATATATATATATGGGTTATCTGAAGAAGGCAACTGCCTAGTCTAAATAATCCAGAGCCAAAAGTTAACTGGAAATCAAGGAAATTAATTGCTCAATACAACTGTTCCTACAGCAAGATTAACAAATGTTTGCCTAAGCTCATTGTTTGATATGAAAGACTGGAGGAAATTTCTTAACTTGATAACATTGTGAAAGTTAAGAAGGGCTTTAAAGCTATTGTATTTCTAATGATAAAATGCTCTGTAGTTGCCAGAATCTAAAAGGAGTGTAGTGAAATATATTCAGTGATTCAGTTAAAAGTTCTTGATAAAACCAATTGCTAAAACTATTTATGTTGATTTAAAATAAACACCAAAAATGGCAACTCAAAAAGTAATACTGGAGAACTGTATTCCACCATACCATTAATTTGTCAATAACCTTGGGGAAAAATCAAGTTAAAATGTTCATTCCAGTTAAAAGGGCTTTCACTTTTCTGTAACAAAGAGAGTGAGTTTTCACCAAAATGTCTTGTCTTGGAGTCAACCAGTGCAGTACCTACTTTGTGCGTATCTGGGCAATGTTGTTTCTTTAAAGAGTCAACATGTGTCCAGTGACAGTTCAGTTGATATCCATACATTTATGTGGGGAAGTCCCCTGAAACTCCTTTGTTTAACTTTGGTTCCATAAAAGGCTGAGAGGCCAAGGTTGCCTTAGCCTGAGTACACAGGCCATGCTTTAGTTCCTTGTTCCAAGGGAGCATTTTAATGTTAGGAACTATTATATTCAAGTATATATACAAACGTTCATTTTTCTGTCAAATGAACTTTCTACTCTTTTGCCTCTTTTCAATTTTACCAATACATAATTCTTTCAGTGCATTTAGTTATATGGAAAGGAAAGATCATGAATAACAAAATGGTTTCTTTTTTTCAGTTTTAAGTATTTATAAAGATAATTACTTTTTAAGTAAAAATGTCACATTTAAAATATGAAAACTATTATTTAATAAAATCAGTAGTGATCTGTTCCATTATTTAGTATAAGAAAAATCTTTTATGAGGGGAAAATAAAATCAATTGTTTCTTTTACTCTATTAATAGAAAATAACTATGAATACCATTTCCTTAAACATAAATCTAATTAGAATTTTTAAATGAAATTTTCTGACACACTTGTTTCCTCATGTTAGTTGAAAAACAACTAAGAACACCTATGCTAAAACATCTCAAAATATTTTCATAATTCTACTAAAAATTACATTACTAAAACTAATTTCTTAAGATTTTAATTATTTTTGGAGAGAGGGAAAGGGACAGAGAAAGAGAAGGAGCAAAACATCAATGTGAGAGAGAAACATCAATCAGTTTCCTTTTTTACACCTCCAGCCAACCACAAGGCCTGACTCCCAACCCAGGCATGTACCCTAAAACCAGGAATCGAACTGACAACCCTTCGGTCCGCAGGGGAACATTCAACCCAATGAACCACACCAGTCAAGGCACTAAGACGAGTGTGTATTGGTAAATAACAATGTTACTTGTTTTCCTTTCTTATTTATTACTTACATCTGGTTCCTTGATAACCTCTGACGTAGTGTTCAGCATTCCCTGCCAGATCTTAGAAAGATCTCGAAGATTAAATACATAATGGAATTTTGCAGGGGTAGGAAGCATTTTAATCTTAGTCATCTGCCACAGCCGGCGTGTCAGGGGAACCAATTTTGTCACTGAATCTCTCACTTCTTCTGAGAAACCCCTTTGGACACTGTAGTAGCCTATCCCAATCACACCTGAAAGGGAGAAAAAGGCATAACATTTTTACTGACAGTTCAAATCAACTAAATTAAAATGAAAAACATTATAATGCAGAGTTTGCTCAAGTTGTTACACATTTTAATATATAACCACATATTAAGGAAATTTACAGTATTTTCTCTTGTTTCTTTAAATCTAAAAAATAGATGTAAGTTCAACTAAGTTAGTTCTCAACTACTGAAAAGTTCATTAAAAAATACTACTCTAGCTAAACTACCGTATTTTGCCATGTATATTGTACACTTTTTTGCCCAAATTTTTGAGGGGAAAATAAAGATGTGTATTATACATGAGTAGTACTAATCTTGTGTCTATATAAATGTTTTTAATTCTTTTTTTCATGCTTATGCATTAAAAGTTAACTCTAGAAAGCAATAACATAACATAATTTTTGTCAATGTCCATGAGTCCTTTTTCCCTTTTGCTCACTCTCTTCATCACCTACCCAACTCCCCTAGCTCTTTTTGTGCTCTCCATCTATGAATCTGTCTGCATTTTGCTCGTTACTTCAGTTCATTTGTTAGATTCCACATATGAGTGAAATAATATGGTACTTGTCTTTCTCTGACTATTTTATTTACTTATCTTTATGTTCTCCAGGTCCATTCTTTCGTTGCATTTCCATGCATTATAAAATATTTTAATTTACCCTATATGTAAAACTTTCCAGGCCAAGAAAAAAAGAAAAAGATAATTAGAAGTTAACAGTCATTCTTTCTGGTCCATTTTACTTGCCCAGGTTTAGACAATTTACCATCATTTAGTTTCCAAACCTTTGCCCACTGCTGTGATTGAAGACAGGCACTGCCTAGGGTGCAAAGTTGACATTTTAGTCTTCCAGAAATTAATTAGAGTAATCCTAATGAGTTTTTTCCTCAGTATCAGGTACAGAAATGCTAAATTAATACCTAACACAAATGACACAACTTATACTCTTTTTCTCTGCAAAGAGTAATTCCAAAATCAGTTATAAATCAGTTACTACTCAGTTAAATAACTATGGTTACCTATTGGGTTTGTATATCTTCAACAAAATTATCCCTGCAATACTACATATTTAATCAATCAATAACTTATTACCCTATAAATTACTATGAAGATCATACTATGACCAATTTCAGTGCAAAATTGTTTCTGTGCAAAATTACTTATTTGGCCAGAATCATTATATGGGCTGGTTGAAGTATCAGCTATATAAACTTTCTGGCATGATACTGTATCGATCCAGACTTTAAATATGTGTATCCATGAGGAAGTGATCTCATTTTATTAAGTCCTTCTATGCACAAAATATATTACTTGAGAGCGATAAAAACTACAGACTAAGGAGCCACCCAGTGCTTCTTCTATGTTGACCACTGGAAGTGTATTTTCTCATTGGTACAGAAGGAAGTGTTCTTCCCTCCCCAAGCCCCATCGACACTCATCTTACCAAAGATCTTGTCCATGGAAGCATCAGAGGGCAGCGTGCAGTTAAATATAGAGAACTGCCTCTTGAGTCTTTGGGGTATATCATTGCGCCCACCCCCAGGATGGATCATGGCTGCCAAAACCTGGATGTCCACGATGCTGGTAAACTCCCCAGGCTTCTCGAGGTTATAAAAACCATTCTGTTCCATTAGCTGTCGCACGATCTCATTAGTAACCTGAGAAAGACAACTTTCAGAATTAAAACATCACTTCTTTACATCCTAGAACGGAACATCTTGAGTGCTTCAAATAAATGGACTTGATGGGAATTCAGAAATTGTATGTTGCAGAATTAGAAAAATTTTTATTCATCAAAGAATAAATCAATGTTGAATTAAAGAAAGGACACAACAGAATTGATATACCTGGTCTCCCCACTCATTGATGATTGGCATATTCACGTCATCAATAAAAACAGTCATCTTCTTTCCTGCAGGAGGGCCATATGTTGTGCCCATGCGTTTATCCACATAACTCTCTATTGTCCTCTGTTAAACAGGAAAGCCAACAGAAATGTGAAAGTATCCCCTAAAATGTGGTCAATTATTTTAAAAATTTAGGGACACTTGACAGGAATTACTCAGAAAAATCCCAAAACTCCTCTTAATCCTAGAAAGCAGAGTATAAAGTCCCTAAATTATCTTGATAATGTTTACAATCTTTGGAAATCTGATTTTATTTAGGAGTAAATGAAATTCTAATCAGTGTAAATTTTGAATGGGATAGGACTCTTCAGTCCATTTCTACAGATTTACTTGTGTCTTACTGGGCCTATGTTGATGACACGCTCAGGCCCAACCCCCATTATTCAAAGAGTCCAGGCCCCACACTCCGGGATAAAGCTAATAAGGGCTACTATGCAAGCAGCCTCTTAGGTCTGTGTTCTGAACTGCACAGCCTGCTTCAGTCTGAAGATGGCGCTCCCTCCACCGAGGAGGCTGCCAACGGCTTCTGCAGCCTGACACAATCCAGGCTCACCGCTTTGGGGCAGATGCCATCGCTCCGAATCACTTCTCATCCTGAGACAAAACACGAACACCCACCCATGTCCCCTCTCTCATTGCTACAGTCTGAGCGTAGGTGGCACAGGAGACTACGCTATGCTCTATAAAAACACTTCACTAGCAATGTGAAAATGAACACTAAAACTGACTAAAGTAATATTATATGTCAACTATGCTTCAATTTAAAAAAACTGAGGGAAGGGGTGTTGGTGGGGGTAAGAGGGACATGGAAAAAGGACCCCATATTATTGCCTATGGTAGTATCATTCTCATGGTAGTACAATGTGGTTTGTAAATGGATCATTTAACATGTAAGCACTGAGTAAGCAGACCTAGGCCTGCAAAGAAAACAGAAAAGGCTTTGCAGTTCTGAAGCTCACTCAAAGACCTCATTGCATGCCTAGCACTGTATGGATCCTTGCTTTTAAGTCATGTTAAAGAGAGGGCATAAATATAGGAGGAAATGGAGGTATAGTGACATGAAATGCATTCCCCTCCTATCCAAAAAAAGTTTTCCCTTACTTCATGATGAGCCAGTCGGTAAAAAATCACTTTAATATCCAAGATACAACCACAAAATAAGGCAAAGATATAAGCAAAAACCTATTCATCTGTCCCCTGAAATCTTCACAGTTTGCTAATTTCAAATTTTAAGTTTCCATCCTCATTTTAATGAATAATAACAAAAGATATGAAAAATTTCCACCATTTTTAAATAGAAAGATATATAAATATATCACAGCTCATTCAATTGAAAAACAAATCTCCCATGACAACAGTGCAATGGCAAAAAGAATTTTATATTCCTGACATAAAAGCAAACGGCTGGAAGTAATGAACTAGGCTAAATTTAGCTCTGCTTTCCAATGAATTTAAATGCATAAGGCAATTAATAATCTCCTGACACCTCCCTATGGCACTAAAGCCTTCCAGACATTCCCATGTCTATTAGCGAGAACTCACAGGCACATGAAGATTTCATTATGTCTTGGGGGGCCTTCTAAGAGCTAAAAGCCATACGTGGACTAGGTGAGATAATTTGAAGCAATGGCCACATACCTGCACTTTCTTCCCCTTCATTATGACCTTAATTTCTATGAAATAGCAGGAAATTACTAGTAAACTATATATGTAATAAAAGAGCTAATTTGACAAAAACAAAAACAAAGTACAGAGAAAAATCAAATAACTTGGGAACCTGACATTAAGACTTCTTCCTCTTCTTAGAATTGCTGCCCATTAGTTACCTAATGAATTCTAAAGTTTGGTGAGACCTCCTGGAGTATGCTCTACTCCATTACATACTTGTGTGGGAATGTTTGGGAAAACCATACACTTGAACCTGTATATTCTCCACTTGGATATAGCATCACAAAATCAACATATCTAAACCTAACTGCCTCTTATTCACCACAAAGTCTGCACCCCCGTGGATGCTCATTTCAGGGATAGGCCCCAACTACCTGATTGCCCCATCCAAACACTTCCACATCCAACTTTGATAAATTCTACTATAATTTCAATACTGCCTTTTAATGCATCTCCTCCTCTCTGAACAATGATATGCCCTAGATCAGTTATTTACCTTTCTCATGGGGATTAATGTCACAGCCACTTAAATTGCCTTCCCAGCCTCCTCCAGTCAGTACTGGAAGCTTCCTTATGCCATTTACAATCTGTATTGTGTGATTTATAATTTTATCCAGAATTCATTGTCTCCCCAAAGAATGAACCCAAAGAGTTACTGATCATTTTTGTAGTATTCTGCCATCCACATTCTCCCTGATCTCCTCCTTGGTCTTTGTTCCCGCCTCATCCACAGTTTTGGTGGTATGAACAACAGCCCAGTTAATAAAAATAGGTATACTAGTTTATTTAATTATTGCCTGTCTCCTCTGCTAGAATATAAGGAGGTCAGGCGCCTTGTATCCTACTCATCATTGCATCCTCAGTGTCCAGAAGGGTATCTGGCATAATGTATTTATCAGAAAATAGTTGATACATAGATAAATAAAGATAAGAAAACTGGAAGTCATCTTTAACCTTTTTCCCCCTCTTCTATCCCTCTCCTCCAACAATATCCATTCATCCTGTCAGTTCTGCTTTCTAACCACAATTCTCCTGATCCAGCCCAGACTCCCTCCTGAGGAATTACTGCAACCCGCTCCTCTCGGGTCCCTCTGAGTTCAGCCATGTCACTTCCATCTTGCTCTCCATTCCACAGCCAGCACAAGCTTCCTAAGGTACAATGTAACCCGGCTCAATGCTCCAGTGGTTCCCGTGGGTGATTTACAGGGAGCGCCATCATGCTCCCTGCTTTCCTCTCCAGTGTCATTTCTAAACACTCTTTGTTCCAGCCTTTCAAGGTCTTCATTCATTCATAGTCATTTAACAATAAAACACATACCCTAGAATGATGCTCACCTCACCGGCTGGTTTACAGTGTTTCTTATGAGATCCTTATTTACATATTCCCAGAGTGGCCATCTCTGAGGCAAAAAAATCTCTCAGGATTAGCATTAGCCAAACACAATTTCTGAATTATTGAGGTAGATGAATGCTCTTCCATAAATGTCGCTTCCCTCAACCCAGGTATTCATTTTAAAAAACTGAAATCGTTAGCAAGGGCCTGGACTAAAGAAAGTTTATACTGTTCTCTGAGAGTAAACAAAAAATTTTACTTCAAAATCAGAGAATGGTGGTCACCATGATATCATCTTAAGCAAGTTATAGAACCCAAAAAGGACTGTGTCTCATTGTCTATTTCACACACCGATGGAAAACCAGGGTTCACCCCAGTTATAGCAGTGGTATTTTACGAAATAAAAGCTAGGTAGTTAGGGATTCAGACAGACTCGGCACTGCAGGAGAGGAAAGCCGCCCTCCCCATCCTAAGCTGGAAGCCCTAAAACTGGCATTCATAGGGTAATCCAATTTTCTAAATTAATTTCTTAACAGATAACACAGCCTCTATAATTCCTAAAAATTAGTATAATATAAATATTAATTCTCTCAGGTAATAGACAACTCTTTCGTTACACTGGTTTCTGTAATCCCCTAAAAAACCCACTCCCTCTTCCTCTGGGCTCTGCAACACTTAGATTGCACCACAGGTCGCTGCACTTGATCATGCACACGCCTATCTCCCCGTCAGACCGAGGGGGAAACGTCCCGGAGAAGGGGTGTTGGCAGGGCCACGTGCAGTTGAGTAGGCCATGCACAGCCCCATTTGGGTATTTATCATTCACACAATTGTCCCTGTGAATGGGACATAGCACAAATCTGTGTAACTCTTACTCAATAACTCTGATAGGGTCTAAGTCAGGAAAAAAGGGTTAAACTGCTCCTTTTTCCACTCAGTAGCATTGTCATTTGATACAAATCATTTAGCATTTCTAAATCACAGCTCAGTAGGTGGAATGTATATAAAGATACATAAATCACATATACGTACATATGTGTGTGTGTGTATATATATATAAAATATACATATATACAGAAGAGTATTATCCATAAAAGATATAATAAATATGAAAGCACTTAGTGAACTTAATGCATCATAAAAAAGGATATTTTATTATTACTCTATGTATCTCTCTATATCAGCACCTGAATCATTTCCATACATATTATATCTGATGAAATTGCAATATAAAATATACTTATTTTTACGTTTCCATCATCTGCTATTTAGTGAAAATATAAAAGTAGAGAGTTTATGCTCTTTATTAAGAAATCTGCCTCGCTTGCCGGTGGTGATGATCTCCCCATGACAACATCCTCTCACCAAGGACCTCCTTCATCCCTCACCAGAAGCAGCACTTGCTGCAGAGCCCCAGTTCCTACTTCCTGGGGATGAAATGCCCAGGATGTTATAGAACCACCACGCCTCTAGCGGGGCACAGATGGTAGCTCCGTGTGTGGCGGCTCCACGGTCCTCCATCAGCCCACAGGAGGAGCAGCGAGGCTTCCAGAGGATGCTCCTCCCCGAGGAAGCAGCACTCAAAGCACCTGAAACAAGGTGAGTGGGGAACTATCCGACAAAAACATTTTGGATACAAAATAAAAAAATCTACGCAGCAGAAAGAAAAAAAGAAGTACTAAACTTTGCGACAGCATGGATGGAACTGGAGAGCATCATGCTAAGCGAAATAAGCCAGGGGGCGAAAGACAAATACCATATGATCTCACCTATAAGCGGAACCTAACCAACAATGCAAAGAAGCAAGGAAAATATGACCAGCAACACTGAAAGGAAAAGAAATCAACAGAGACAAGAGGGAAGGGGGGGGCAGGGAAAGGGAAGGGAAGGGGAAAGTCAAGGAACATATAGCAAGGACTCATGGACAAAACCAAAGGGGAAGAGCTGAGGGAGGGAAGGTGGGAGGGGGCAAGGGAAAGAGGTGGGGGGAAGGCAGAGACAAATGTATTTAAAAAGTAAATAAATTAATTAAAAAAAAATTGACTTTGAAGTTAATAAAAAG